AAATAAGGATTATGGGTCTACATATGCACTGTGCCTTCTGAGCATGGCTCATGGAAGGACAAGAGGCAGACTTTTACAATCTCAGAAGGCTGGGCTGTGTGAAGTCATGCTCAGACACAGATCTCCTTTTGCCAGTCCCAATATTCAAATCTACTCTGGCTTGTTGGCAGCTCAGCAGAAGCCAGTTCTGTCCTGAGCCTGCTGTGGCCAGCCCAGCTCTCCATCCCTCACTTGGTACAGTAGCAGCCTGGCAGGAGGAAGTCCAGCCAACCACTGCCCTGACAATGCTGTGACCCCTCTGCTTGCACCACTGCTTCCTCAGGGTTCAGAAGACTGTGTATTAGAAATTATTATTATATGTGCCTGTAAAACAAGTCCTGAAAAGAACAGTATTGTTTCTGCAGAGGTGATTCCAGAGGGGATTCCAGAGTGGAAATTCACTTGAAAATTTGCTGCTAACATCAAGTTCTGAAGTCTGTTCCACTCCTGAAAAGGAGGTGATGCCATTCAGGGGAACCTGGACAGGTTTCACAGCTAGGCCTGTGTGAAACTCATGAAGTTAACAAAGACAAGTGCAAAGCCCTACACCTGGGTCAGGGCAATCCCAAATGCAAGTAGAGGCTGGGTGGAGAATGGATAGGGAACAGCCCTGACAAGGACTTGGAGACACTTATGGACACGAAGCTCAGCATGAGCCAACAATGTGCTCTTGCAGCTGAAAAAACAGTACATCCTGAGCAGCATCAAAAGCAGCGTGGCCATCAGTACACCAGGGAGGTGATTCTGCTCTGCCACTCTCATGAGGCTACGAGCACTCTACCTGGAGTGCTGTGCCCATCTCTGGGGCCCATTCTAATGGACAGCTGGAGCAAGTTCTGAGGAGGGACACAGAGGTGATCAGAGGAATGGAGCACCTCTGCTGTGAGCACAGGATGAGAGGGTTGGGATTGTTTAGCCTAGAGAAGAGAAGGCTCTGGGGAGACCTTATAGCACTTTCCAGTACCTGAAGGGAACCTACCAGAGAGCTGGTAGAGGGAATTTCAAACAGGGGATGCAGTGACAGGACAAGGGGGAGTAGCTTTAAACTGAAGAAAGGCAGGTTTAGAATAGGTACTAGGAAGAAATTCTTTATGTGTGGGCAAAGCACTGGAATAGGTTGCCTAGAGAAGTAGTAGATGCCCTGTCCCTGCAAGTGCTCTAGACCAGGATGGAACTTTGAGCAATGTGTCTAGTGAAAGGTGTCCCTGCCCATGGCAGGGCAGGTAGAACTAGAAGATCTTCAATGTCCAGGGTAGAAATCTGTTCCATTTCCTTCCAAATTGTGTCCTGCAGGACCTGTCCTGAGAGTAATCTCTGGTAAGCATATACTGCTTTTCGTTGTGCCATAAGACTGGGCAAACTTGCCATGAAAAATGTAAATACTTTTTACTAGCTCAGTACCTGTTCCACAGTACAAGGCTGGAAGTGGGAGAATTGCTCTCTCTTCTTTGGTGGTACTGTGACTGTCTGAGCATATTTGGTTTCTCTATAGCTAGTAAATCCACCAGGAAAATAATAGTAATGCAATTGTGATTACACCACCGAATGTGATTTTCCAAAATAAATTAAAACTTCAACATACTACAGGTCCTACTTGTCAGTCTGAAGTGAGAATGGTTTGAAAGATCCTAATTTCATATTACTCTTAAATCCATCTTTACATACGTATTAAAAACCCCCTGCAATGCTAATAGAAATAATATGTATACGTTACATACACACAGGCAATATCACAGGACTGTAGATTTAGCAACAACTTACTGAGTATTTGTCATACAATAGATTTAGTGACAATATGCACACAGTTTTCAACAAGAGTGTTCTGGAGGGGGTTAATGCACCTGTTTGTAATACAAGGCATTAGTTGACCATTTTCAGTACCAATCATACTGAAAGAACAGCTAGGTCAAGAGCAGAGGTGTTCCACAAGCGCAGAAGCAGAGCACGTGCTGCGGATTGCAGTTGCATTGCCAACATCTTGTCTGACATCACATGGAAGCATGAAATTCTCTCTGGGGCAGACTGACCTAAGCAAGGTTTGTGGATCAATACCACTGATACTAGCAATATTTCTGTTCAGACCTATTTTGACATTAGAAATAAATGATTCTGTCTTTACAGTCAAGCTTATATTCTCATCCCAGTGCACAGGCATTTACAAGCCTAATCTAAAATCTGCTGAAGTGAGAGGAAATTGTTCCTTTTCATGAAATGTGTTTCAGGTCAGTCCAATTATTAAAAATGCGTACATTGTTAGGCATCAGCTTTTGTACTTCAGAACAAAAACAAATCCCAAATTACTGGTGAGCTCTTTTAAGGATGTCTGTGTAACTTTTAAAATGTCGTTCTAAGCATGGAATGATGATTAGACTGTACAGACACGACACAACCCTGTCAATATTTTCATGAAGTCTTAGTGATTAGCAGCAAAGTAAAGTGACAGTATTTGTTGGGTTTGAGGTATTTCTAAATGCTAAAATCATCAAGCACAACAAAAATACAGTGACGGGGAGTTTTCTGCCTTTTTCTTCCAGTATACAAGTTACAATGGTCAGGAAAAAGGGAGCAACAAACATCAAAGTTTCACCGCACTGTACATTGAAGTGTTTAAGGACAGTCACCTTCTGCAAAGTAAGTTTTTGAACTATATGTCACTCAGGCAAGTAAAATATTACAGGAGATTTGCCTCTAAGCTTTCCAAGGGCAGCAGAGTTTGCACCCTATACTTTAAGTCCTAGTAGTTTAGCTGTGGCATTCAGGGTCTGCTTTCTTCACTAATATGAGTGTTTTCTTTATACTAACCTTAACTTGTGTATAGTTTCTGTTTTGTGCTCACTTTGTTCCATTTTTCTGAGCAGGACTTCTTCATCTGGCGTAGCTTAAAACAAACCAGATTTAGACATTCAAATGAGTACTGTTTAAGCTCTTTGAGTGACACTTTCTTTTTAAAATAACTTACCCAGCTTTCACATAAACAGTAAATACAATTTTTGGACACCACTCAATACAAAAGGTGGACCTTATATAAAATTCATCAAGAACACAGGCTATTTTTTGAAAATAACCAAATATTTCTAAGAATCAAGTGCCTCCAATAAAAACATTTTGTGAAGCTCAGGTAGTACCACTCAGGTAGTACCTGAGTGACAATGTCTGGCAATAGACAAAGCTTTAATTTTTAATTTTAAAATCACTAATTACTGCTAATACATTGTTGCCTTTGACAAGGCAATCACTTCTTGTCTTAATTGAAAAAAAAGTCCAGATAATTTCCTGTCTTTTGTTCTCCTTTTATCACTGTCTCTCCCCTTGTCAACATATATTGGTGTCCATGAAGCAATCCTACTTTTGAAATGGCAGTGATCAGGGACAGGAGGGCATAGGTAAGATCAGCCCAGTACTGGGATATTTCAGGCTTACTTCTAAGAACTCATTAAGATACGGAGGCAGTCAAACCTTTGGTGAGCTTACTGGCTGCAGCAGCCTGAAAACACACCCTGCTGACACTATTGACCCGTGTCTTAGTTTATCACCATCTGCTTTGTGTGAGTTTCCAGCCTACCTTCTGTCACCTCCTCCGCTTTAGCCTTCAGAGTAACGCTACCCCCAATAGCCTGTCTTTCTTTCCCAATTAATCCTGGACCTTTTCTCACCATCCTCCACACCTCTACAAAACCCTCACTTGAGCCAACATGGCACAGTCCTACTATTTTATTCCTCTCCCTGACAGGGACTCAGAACTGGCACCGTTTTATTGAAATGCCAGAAAGAGCTCCAGCTTAAAGTGAGTGGTCACAGAATCCTCTTTGTGTTGCCTTAACCAAGCTCAAGCTTGCCTGAGCTTGCTATGAATGTCTGGATTGTGACCCTCCTGGGACGACAAGCATATACAAGGCTGGAGCAGAAAACACATGCCTTGGTGGCGTTAAATCATAAATAACAAACAGCAGGCACCTTCTCTGAGCATAAAAGGCAGAAGCTTCATGGTAATTCATTTAACTCCTCTTTTCAGCTGCAAACTCTATTACACTCCTGAAACCTGTCTTAATTCAGAGAGTATTGCTCTTCAGCTGAGTTCAAAAATTAATCTGGCAACAGAGTCCCCTGAGGTAGAAGTCTCCCGAGCAGGCATAGTGTGAAAACATTGCCTGCCTGCTTTAAGATTAATTTCCCCCAGCACTCACTGGAGTTCAGCACCACTGGCATTTGTGCCTTCAGCCTGACACAGGCAGGAAGACAGCCATAGTACCAATGTGTGAAGTGCTTGGAAAATGGTTTTAAAAAGCCAAAGAGAAAAATCAGCATCCTACTCCTGTGCTGATATAAACCAGTTTTAGCCTGCCTGTTTTGGTAGCCCTGAAACACTGCACCTCACTGTCTTATTGCTGGTCCTAGTGTGGATAACAGTAAAGAGCAGGGCAGATGCAGGAAAATGTACACAAACCTGAAATTAGGAGCATCAAATTTCTAAGAGCAAATGCAAAAAGCAGAGACAGAAAAGTGGCGATCCATAAGGTCCTGCATGGCAATCTTCCTTTCACCATCAAAACCACTACTGAGGATGACACAATGAGGATGCAAAACACAAGAGAAGAATTTTACCAGTACTATTAAGTTTCCTTACACCTGTGTTTTGTGAGTAGATACTCACAAGCACAGTGTTTACTGACACAGTCAGGTAGCTGTTAGTCTACTGTGGGCAGGGTAGGTAGGTGCAGCATACTCAGACTCTGCATAGCTGATACAAAGACCTAGCTTGGGACTCCCTCATTTTGCAAACATGAGGATCTCTACATGGTCAAGGTTGCTTGATTTGTACATTAAAGATTTTGCAAACAATGGCACAGGACATATCAATCTGCAACATGTTTCAGTTCTTGAAATTTTTATACATTTTCCAAGCACATCATCTTCAAGTCGGGCTCTGGTGGTCCTGGCAAATGATGAAACAAAGACTTTAATATATTGCAGTGAGAAATGCATTTATTTCATACAAGGGTTCATAATTCACTTTAAAAAGACAGCTAGCACTATCATATCTAACAAAACTTCTTTATCCCCTTAGAAGTACTGCTCTGTGTATTACTAGGTGCATGCTCCATCTGAAGGAGTTGATTTTCGTCCAGGCTCAGGGTGATTATCTATCTGAGCAGTAACTACAATTGCTGATGATGTGAAGTAGAGCTGTGCATGTAGCATTCATCAGTGAAGACTACCTGTCCCTTCCTGGCATATCACTTCCTCTCTATCTATCAGGGCATACCCTGATGCTGTATTTGCCAGTTTTCTGGAAACTGTGAAGCAGGAGGTTAGCTCTGTTTCACGAAATCCGGTAGCTCCATTCCCGTGCACAGGGTAAGCATTCCTGCCTTCTCCAGGGCAAAGGCTGGGTGAGCAGCATCAGTGAATTTGTGCCTGATGGCAAACAGCACCAGTCCTCTCTCTGCATTGAAGAACAATAGCCTTCCACTATTATAATCCAACAGGATGCCAATCCTGGCCAGGTGCTCCGTCACATGGACATCACTCATCACACCAGTGTGAAGAAATCTATAAAGAAAGCTGTGGGAAAATGGAAACAAGAATACAATGAGCCTCCCCATAGCAATTTACCAGAAATAACCTGCAGCTCAGTTCCAATCTATTAACAGGTGGCTGCATACAGCAGCCTATCACATGGCTGCAGCATTTTGCTTGGTACGTAGGCAAAGGAAATGTGGCATCACTTCAAGCCCTGTCTGGCATCCTGACAAACCTTTTCACTTGGCATCTTTGGACTCGTAGGAAAAAAAGCCTCTTGGGTGTTTCATTTAGCTAGTAATGTTCATACACCTGTATGATTTCACACTGGAAAAAGCACACTTGTTTAGATCAAGGGCACTTTAGAAAGTAGCAGGTTGGTGCCTGACAAACCTCCAAGCAGCCTGGCACTGGCCTGCTACCACAGACTACCCCAGCACCCTACAGTCCTGCCAGAGTGTCAGGTGAGTGTCTAGCACTGTGAAGGACAAGGCAGGAGAAAACATCCCCTATCAAATCTTGACATCTCCTACAAATGGAAGTAGATTCTAAAAAGACTACGTTTATGGAAATAAATACCTTTGCTGGGGTTTAGTGAAGCTAGTGAAGCAAATCAGAATATGAGAAGCAACAAACTATTTCTGTAAGTTTTATTCACTGTCTGGATGAAGGGTGCTATAATAATCTATTTTGAGTTTAATTTTTTTTTGAAGGTGCTTTATTCAAATTTACATAGAAGAAGCAGAAGAATCCTTTCTGCTTTCATGAGGAAGCAGAAGATTCCTTTCTGCTTTCATGATTCTTGTGTCTGGCCAGCATTATTATGAAGGAGAAATAACTTCCCAAGCTGCCAGACTGAATCCTCTTTACCTGGTTTGTGTAGGACAGCATCTCATGCACCAGGAGGTATCACTCAATCCCAGGACACTGCTCTGTGTTATTGTCTCATAGCAAATCCCAATCCTGTAGCTTCTGCAGGCAGAGACAACAATTTCCCAGTAATGACATCCTTGAGCAGGCAGCAGTTCACCCAGGACTGAAGGAAACCTGTTTGTGGAAGAGGCAATACAGTAAAGAAATTGTGGGGCTAGACAAACCATATTGTGATATTTCCTTCAGTCAAATCATTAAGCATCACGTAAAATTACTAAGAAATTGCACTCTATTGTTCTAACTGCAGGGTTTTATGAAAGATTTAACTCTTTGCACTGAGATGACTTATCTAAAAGACCTCAAATATAGAAGGCTTGTTCAAACTAGAAAGTCTGGCAAACATCTTGTGTGCATTCAGTGGTAACAGCAACAAAAAGTGCTTAAACCAGTAAATCCTCATCACTTTTTAAGAAGCCATATCAGTATGGCACAAGTTACACAAGTGGACCTGTGCTTGTCCTAGGACTGATATCAATATATCCATCCCCCTGCATTGTTGTCAATGGATAGATCTAGCCTGGTACAGTCATGTTAACATATCCCAGGAGCACTTCCTAGTTCTCCAAAGCCACAAATACTTTGGACAACATTACCAATAATGCCCTCAGGAGAAAAGCAAACTGTGAAGATGGATTACTTCCATCCACAGTGTATTAAAAACTAAGCCCACAAAGCTGACCTTCTCAGGGCTGCAAAAAATTGCTTTGAGACTCTGATGGATTAAGCGGTGACTAGAGGCTGAAACAAATCAAGCAGTCCAAGTAGGTACCACTTACTACTTTGACTTCCTGGCCATTCCTTAGTGTGACACTGAACTCTTCCTAGTACATCAATCCCACCAGTGACTTTACTGAGGTTTGCATTGTTTGAAAGGGGGGTTCAATTGGAGGAAGTCCAGAGGCTGGATGACCAAAATTATTCAGTTCTTCTACAAAACTAGTGTCATGTGAAAGATGCCTATTGGCAAAAAATTAAAATGAGAGATCCATCCTGAACCCCACAGGATGGTTTTGCTCATCATACTGCTACTCACCCAGAGAGTTTGGTTTTTTCAGGAAGGTGGATCACTGTTGCATTAGAAGAGATTTGCAGTGCAGGATGCGCTGTGTCACTCAGCAGACGAAATCGAGTTCCTGGTACAATTCATGACAAAGAAACACCAGATATGAGATATTAACATGAGAGTAATCATAAAATGCTAAGAAACAATTACGGCCATCTTAGCTGGACAGGGTTGTGTCTGCTGGCATGTAGGAGTGACAGAAAATTGGCTGCAAATGCAAGGAGTATTCCAAATTGAGACAGCAGTCTAATATTGAGAAATGCAGATAAGGTGATAAAGAGGTCTTTTAGAGTATGTAAGAAGTTTGAATAATTTTCAATCAAAATAGTGAATTTGAATTTTCAGGCTGATTTGGAAGAACCATACATAACACTAGTTATCTGGAAATCTTCAAGTTTTAAAACGGCTTTGCATGCTTCCTCAGCACTCAAATTCCATTAGGTTTTAATTGTGAGAGGTTTTCTTTAGGGTCACAACAACTTTCATCTGATTGTGCTCTGTCAGATTCAAGCAAACTGAGATCCTTGAAGAATACTTAATCACTTCATTGCTCTGACAAATTCAACATTTTTGCTTCTGAAGTCACACTAGTTTTACACAGGACATAAATATACAAACTTCAAGTGAAGTAGTCCTGATTATGCTAATTTTAAGCAGAAAAAAGGGATATAAATTTGAGTTAACAAGATAAAAACTTCAATAATTTGGCCACAACCATATTGTGAACTTCAGCTATAATTTCTAATGAAAAATGCTTGGCTGCTTTGCCCTTCCACCCCATTGTTTTGACATCAGGATATTATGATCTACCTTTAGTTGAGATGAGAGCTGCTTCACTTTGTTCACTTGTCCCAAATGGGTTGACAGCTCTCAGGTAGAAGAAATAGTTCACATTGGGCTCCAGGGATACTTTCAATTCAGGTTTCTTTATACCAGCAAAAGATCTGCAAATGTTGAAGATACATTAAAACGTATGCAGGTATCCAAACTAGAGAAGACTGATCTATGCCAACAGTGAAGTTCCCTAACCATATTGTTTACTAGTGAAATAACAAACACCATACTGAAACTCCAAATGAGAAAGGCAACACTATTTTCACAAAAAACTGGGTTAGGTAGGAGCTTCAGCATGTCACTTGAGGGATTGTTCTCACTTTATCTTACTTATCACCCAGTGCAGTGTAATGATCACTTTATGTTGGTTTTGTGGCATAATTGATCACATAAAATTTAAGCAGCACCGAGTCAAATCCTCATCTGTCTCCTGTGAAAAGTCTGCTTTTTCTTTACAAAATGAGCAAGTTTCTGAAAGAAAAAACACACCTTTTAATTAATTAATTAAGACACTGAATACACTAGTGCTTTACTATCTGGGCACATGTTACAAATCCAAAAGAACTGATACTGTTATCTGAGATAGCACAGAAATCATGCTCTTCATCATAAAATCTTTATAGAATGGTGATCCACTTATTAGAAACTCCTCACTCACAGATCCTTCAACCGCTAAGCCTGGGCTCTGTTGTGGTATCATGCACCCTTACAGGGCAGTTTTGCAGGAGGCAGAGCCGAGGAGCTGCTGTCACACAGTTCCCTGCTTTGACTGTGCTCCCCAGTGCACTGCCTCAAAAACTCCAGCCCTGACACCCTCTACCCCTGGTATCTTCACACACTGCTAGAAAGCAGGAGTCAGCACCCACTCAATCTGCTTCACAGGTGCTTCTAAGTACCAGTGAAAGCATTTTGGATGACTAGAAAGATGCCAGTTTATTTTCAACATTGACAGCAGCACGAAAGATTAGCTTAACAAATTCTCTTGCACCAGATCTTGATTTTCCTCATTTTTTGCCTCTTATGATAACAGCAAAGCCAGACAATAGACACTCTCTGCATTGTATGCCTGCAGGTAAAGATTGTTTATCTGTGTAAAGTTGGTGATTTCCTCCTAGAAATGCTCCTAGAATCTACAAGGCAAGTATTTAAATTCCAGAATGGGAGACCTGCCTTTGGAGAGTGAGCAAGACACTTTCCCTTCCACCTCAGGTTTGAGAGTGGAGCCCAGGATGGTCTCTCTCCACCATGGCAAGCAATACCCCTGTGAGAAGCTAGACTAAATAAATTATTTTTGCAGCACAAACTGCTGTGACCCCAGAGGAGGCAAGGCATGTGAGTCAGCAGTCAGATCAGATCGTTGCTATTCATTAGGGGTGACTGTTTTTACGCACATATCCCACCAGAGAGCAGTACAAACTGACGAATAATCAGTGCTCATCCATCGGGATTTTTCAAATGCCTGTTTCTGCTGCATTTATCACATCAAGGTAAAATCTCACAGCTCTTAATACACCAGATTCATGCTTACACCGCACAGATCTCTTTCTAGGAGGATGGCATCTTCAGAAAAGACTGGTGTGTCATCCTTTTTAGTCTGGCAGGCATTTTGCACTGACAGTTGTCATTAAGGGTGATTGAGAGCATCAAGAAAATGCACTGGGTGCTTCTGTGATCTGTTCCTTCAATTTAAAAGAATTTCAGAGAGTCTGGGGTTCTGGTGTGATCAGCACAAGACTATGCTACTTTCGGGGAATGTGTTACATGAATGCTGGAACCAATGTAGTGAAATGGCAGAAATGGCATGGCTTGCTTCCCCCTCATGACTCACCAAAGCCCTGACCACAAGACCACTTCAGCAAGGCACTGACAGCACAGCAGGCTGAAAGGTTTAGGGAAGAGGTGTAACCTGATGAACTGACTGATGAGGACACAAGCTCTTTAAACCTGAGTAGAGGGGACAAGGGAAAGAAAACCTATGAACTGAAGAAAACTACAAGATGGGAACTGAGGAAGGAGGCAAATATGAAGGGAGAGAAAGGAAAAACAGGATAGAAGCAGAGGAGGCAGGGGAAAAGAAGTAGGCACCTAAGCTTTGAAGAAATTTGCCCATGCTTCCTAGGCAAGACTTACCCAATCTATTCCTTAAAACCAGCACACTGACATAATTTATGTGACTCCAAAGTACAGACCACCAGAGAGGGGTTTTGAGCAAAGAGTTACATGTGACATGAAAAGAGGATATGCTAAGCTATTCCTTGAAAGCTGCCTGTGGCACTATGTAGATTAGCATGCCTTAAGCACAGTGATGCCCTGTACATGGCTCCTTCTTCTGTGTTTTGGAAAATGTCACGTAAGTCAGTATCCTTCCAAAGAAATTAGGAGATCATCTTTTTCACTATGTACTGTTTATCAAATGATTGAATAATAAAACACAAAATCACTTCTAAATTAAATTAGATAGTTACATTGTGGTATAATAAGTAGACATGGGGTATTCGTAATCTGGAGTGTAGATCTCAGAGATGTCTCATAGATATTTAGAAAACATATTGGGTCCAGTCATTTGCAGAATAGGGTCAGCGACTGAAGTTCAGACTTCAGGCTCTTACAAATACAAAATTCTCCAAATCAGAATTTGGATGCATGTTTAAATCAGAGGGCAATAGCATGCTGCTTTTCAGTCATAATAGTGAGACAGAAAAGTCTTGACTTCAAGCAGATCTGAGCTATAAAATGGTGATCAGATTTTTGAAAGCTTTTGGTAATCTATTTCAGCCAGCTTTAAGCTGCCTAAGAATAAGAGCCCATAAATTTTAGCTATGATTAAGGCTTAAAAACAGTCCTGATGCTGCCAAGTAATGAAACAGAATATGCTGACAAGATGGAATTTCAGTTGCTACGTTCTGAGCCAGATCCAAGAGCAAAAGAAGCTGCATGCAAAGAATAAATAGGTGTTGCTATCTGTTTCCTCTCCTGTTTAGAGGGTAGGGTGAAGAGGGAGAGTGAATACTGAGGGCTCCCCAGCAATCACAGTAGTTTATCATGCTTTAGATTGACTCCACAAAAGCAAGGATGAGGAGAAGGTATGATTACTGCTTAGCTTACAGCATACAGGTTATGTGTAGGAGAAGGCGAGGGAAAATGCATCCTGACTGTGTTGGTGGAAGGCTGTTCCATTTCTGATTTCTTGTAACAAGCATTGCAGATGGATCTTCCTCAAGCTCACCTTAAGTAGTGAACTGTAATTTTGAAAGAAAAAGAAATCCACCTACAATATTTCTAATGTCAGATAGTTTCTACTTTATATACACCTGCCCACTTTAGAGATTATTTGAGGTGTAATAATGTTGCTATCAAAGCATGAGGCATCCTGGTCTTTAGATTAAATGTTATCTTACTTGCACTGTCCTCTCAATTTCTTGGTATTGTTGATACAGAAATATAGGACATAGAAAGTCAAGAAGCATTTGAAGTTAAATATTTTAAGTATCTCCTCTCATCGTAAGATGAATCTGTAAGACTGAAAATCCACTCTTCAAATATCAGGTACATGCTATTTAAAGCAGAACAAAAAGGACTTGCATGTTCCTTCACCTTTAACTTGCCAAGGAATATTATAGTAGCAGTTTTATGCCAAATCTGTGATTTCTCTTGTTTTAGGGAAATCTGATGCTGTGTTTTTATGCTCATTTCTTTCATCTGCATCCTCATTTATTTAAAGGAAACAACATCTAGGGGATATTTTTTAATATCGCCTGAACCCAGCAAACGATATGCCTTGCAGTGATTCACAACACCCTCTGTGCTATAATTGTCATTTCCACCCCCTAGATCCCACTGAAACAGTACCTCCAGAGCCATGCTGCTATCACTGATATGGAGTTAGGGTGAAAGTATGCAAGCTTCTCAAGATACATGTGGAAGCATACAGAAAGGATGCATCATGAGTGGAAAAAAGCTCTTGAAGCTAAAAATAAAGGGCAAATAGCTCTGAGTTTGCTCCCAGCTGTGCCACATCTCTCCTCTCCTCTCCTCTCCCTCTCCCTCTCCCTCTCCCTCTCCCTCTCCCTCTCCCCTCCTCTGTTTTGGGATTAGGTCACCAAAACACCCCCTGCTTACTGTGTTAGCTGCAATTGGCACAGTTTCCAACACCCAGTTTCCCAGCTACCACAACTACCATGTGGGCAATGAAAGAGGAGGGAGACTTGTTCCTTTTGTTCCATCATTAGACTTACTTCATAAGGAAACTGAAAATTTCTTTCCCTAAAAGCGCCGGTCTTGCACTGTCAGAGAGGATGACATTCAGTAACTTCCACTTTCACAAGCTCACCACATACTGCACTTATTTCTGCCTCCCTGAGTCTTACGGATTTCTCATGATGTGACACAGGCTTTCCATCTGAACAGCCTACATACCTAATCCCTGGACTACATTTCTCACAGCTTTCCATCTTCCACCCACAACTCCATTGACTTCTCAACACAAAGAGGCTGAACAGTGAGAAAATAGCAGAGCTCTTGAAACTGAAAGAAACATTTCAAAGTGTCACTCATAAAGATTCTGGAAAAAGATTCAACCTGGGAAAGAGCTTTAAAACTACTGCAGCAGGCCAGGGACTCATTTTTGCTGAAGATTTAAGGTGATTCTATATGAAATTATGTCCCTCAGGTGGCAAGTTGGTAAGAAGAGAGAAAGGAGAAGGGAAAATGTAGATTTGGGTGGACTTTTTTTGGTTGGTTGGTCGGTTACTTGGTTGGATGATTGGTTTTTTTGTTTGTTTTTGTTGGTCGGGTGTTGGATAATACTTTTTCTTGACTTGGAGATGGGGCAACTGAGCGGCATTTTAAAAGCTTTTATTCCATTTTCAGTCTCATGAGAAGGGTGAGACAATTCATGCCATCACAATCAGAAGCCAACTATTTCCTCATTACAATACAGTATAAATATTTATTGGCCTATCAGCTTTTTGCCACACCATGCTGTATATGCCTTAATGCAAATAATCTAAAACTACCCCTCGTGGGTCCCACTGCAATGCATCTTCCACAGTTCTATTTATCCAAAGTATCTAGTTTTATTTACAAGGCCACCTTTTTAAACTTTTTCCTAGCTCAGTTTCTCTCTCAACAACATCAGTCCTATTCCATGGCATTTCTAAGTCAGTATTTCTTATTTCAAAGTTTGCATATGGATGCAAACTGTGTGGGCCTTCTACAAATCCATTTTGAACAGCTGGGGTTTTGTGTTTTCATTTGTTTGGTTTGTTTTGGTTTTTGGCAGTATTGGAAAGGAAACTTTAGTGAGCTTTCATTTCCAGATATGCTTCTTATTCTCTCTCTTGGGAGGTGGGATTGCTTCAAGGATGTTCTTGGGAGTTATTCAAAAGCATCCTGGGCAACTGGCTCTAGGGGGCCCTGCTTGATCGGGGGTGTTACTCTAGGTGATCTCCAAAGGTCCCTTCCAGCCCCTACCACACTGTGATTCTGTGGCATGCTGAAATTTACATGTCACTAACTTAGACCACATGTCTCTAGCTGTTCAGTGAGGGCCTTTCTCCCTGTTTGCTCCCTTGGCAGTATCCTTTACCTTGAGGGAGCTTCCAGAATGACATCTGTGAAAGCAGCCTTATGGAGATGGGGCCATGGTGCCTTCTGAACTTTTCTTGAATGTTCTTTCCTGACCTCTACGTTTGCACTGTGCCCGCATCAGCAACTGAATGAACCTTTTAGGGTTGCTGAGAAATGTGTTTGAACTCCCAGCAGGGACTGGGAAATTGCTTAGCTCCAGGGCTGCTGCAAGCACAAAAGGCACAGGCTGTCTATGAGAGGGCTCCACATTTGGCTGATCCCCAAGATGCATGTTGCTCAGGAAACCTGAAAGTTTCCTCCAAGCTTTCAAGGAAAATAAAACAAACAGAAGAATCTACAAGACTTGAGAACAAAATTCTGGGTGTGCATAGAGTTGGAGTTTTATTCTACCTTATATAGGTACTTGGCTTCTAGTCAACTTGATTGACTTCTATTACAGTTGATTTCTAATTCTAAATTGCACCTTTGGGAGCCTTGGATATGAGTGATAAAGGCAGTTCTCCATCTACCAGTAGGCTTTTCCCCCCCTCTACTTTATCTAAAATAGAAATCTTTAAAAAAAAATTCTCCAACACTATAACAACTTCTGACACTACAGAAGATTCCCAGGTTATTCTCAGGGGGTTGATTTAGGAAAAAAAAATAAGAGGGAAATTGTCTTCAGGGAATGTAAGTGTTAAAACATTGTCTTTGACACAAAAAACAAGGTCAAAGCCCAGAGAATTCTCTTAAAGAGAGTTTTAAGCTATAGCAATTCTGAGAAAATTCATTATTTTGTGGAAAGTTTTCACACTTGTCACAGTTAAAGGCCAGTCTCCGCTGACAGAGAGGCCAAGAAGTCAAATGTGACTCAGTATAATTATAAAGACATTAGATTTTATACAAGGTCACTTGAGAAAGCAAAGGGGGCTGTTCTGGAAGGTTTTTTGCCACATTTATCACCACACAAGCAAACTCTTGGTGTTACCAACGCCTTGCTCATGGTTTACAGAAATCAGCACAGTTTCTGGTTTTGTTTTGAGAAAAAAAAAATCAGTTTCAGATAACAGCATAGAAACTTGAGGGCAAACAACCAGCATATGTTTCAGCAGCAACTCCATTATCTTTGACCAACAACAACTTTGGCAGGCTGACAGGGACCTGACGGCCTCATGAAATAGGTCTGAAACACAGCAAGTCCCTCCGAGAAGCAGGAGAATTGGGCAAGACCTCTCCTTGATTGCCGTAATGCAGCACACTGCATTATACTGCATGATAAAAAGTCTCCCACCCACACAGAAATTTTTAATTTCGGTTTTCAGCCTACTTTTGTAAGGAGCAAGGCATTCACAATTTCACAGTTGTACTTCTCTCCTACAAAGCTAAGAACACTTCAGTCCACATAACTAATTTTGACTTCAGGGCATGAAGCCCTTCCCTCCTCTTCAGGGAGCTCTTCCCTCTCTACCCCATCTTCATGACGTCCACATGAACTAGCCCATTGGTGAAGACCCTCATCAGGGTTCTCAGGAAGTGAAAAAGACAACCTCTGCTGGGCTGAGGCTCTTCATACAGGGTTCTGTATGGCAAGCCACCCCTCTCCACTTCATAAAACTTCTCAGACCTGTGCAGCTGTACTTTGCTAGAATATTGTCACTGTTTTTATAAGGCAAAGACCCCCAAGCCCTAAGGACATGCAGACCACCATGTAACTCCCTGCCTATAGCTGAGGGGTTGGAACTGGATGATCTTTAAGGTCTTTTCCAACCAAGGCTATTCTAAGATTCTATGATTCTACAACAATTTTCTCTGCATTTCAGCACAGTGCAGTTACCTGGCTCAGGGGTGCCAACATCCCTCCTTGTCCTCTCCTGTATGCAGCACAGGCTTAGCATAGGGGAAACCAGAGAGGGTCTGGCATAAACAGCCACTACCCTGAATTTCAAAGCAACTCTTGAAGCCCTGTGGCATGCCTGCACAGCCAGGTAGCACCGAGCCCAGCTGTGCATTGAGAGGCCTCTGCGCACGCATCCAGACAGCACAGATGGGTCACCAATGTTACAGAGACACCCATATCACCCTTGCTATGCCCAGAGATGACTTCTGTCCTGTTCTCCACAAAGTGAAGAGCAAACCGGGCCATGCTCCTCCATCATCCACCTTCCCGCGGAGCTGCCAAGCTCTGAGCTCCCCCCCAGCACAGCCCCCAAACTTCTGCTGGTTGCAGACAGCACATCTCCACGGCTTTGGCCCCAAATGAAAGGGACTGAGAATAAAAAGGAAGTATTTTTATGTCTCGCCTAATCTCGCAGTTTAGTGCCTGCCCCTTAGATTGCCAGCACGGGGAAGCAGACTCCTCCCCTGGGTGCTGCAGGCAGGACAATCTCTGGGATGGAGCCGCCCTGCAGGACGCTCCGCTCGGTCGCGGCTGCCCAGCCCGCCCAAGGGCGCGGCACTGACCTCAGACCTTCTCCCTCCGGCGAGTGCTGCCGGCAGTACTCCACGATGAAGGACTCGGCGGACAGCGATGAGGACAGCCAGCGGACAGTGGCGGTGTCCCAGCACACGGTGCAGTCCTCGGCCTTGATGCTGGGCACGGCGGGCGCTGGGGACACAGGGACGCGTTACTGCGCTGCCGGCAGGCTGCCGGGGCATCCCCGCTCGGGAGGAACAGCCCCGGCCGCCGAAACCCACGCGATGGGCTTCTGCCCACCTAGCAGTGATCTTTTGTTTGTGTGTATTTGAATGGCAGAGGAAAACAGACACTGCAGGGAAAACAAGCAATAAAAACACGCTGGGAAAGGCATTGTGGATAGTTGTGCCTTTGTCACATGCTTAGAATGGTGAATTGTAATGCCTTTCCTCAAGCAATGTTTCCTCCTTCGTGCCAGAGCACCGAAGCAGCGCTGCCTACAGCTCTCTGCATCACCTCAGTCCTGTCCTCAGCAGTCCCTGCATGAACTGCATCAGGAACAAATGTGCTGCTGCAAAAATGACAGGGAGATGCTGACTTTCTGTTTAATTATGTCTTCGTTATTTTTGCAATGCTAAAATTCGGTCCTGTAATTTCTCCTTTTTAGAGATTCTGTTTAAGAGCTACAGGCCCAACTGCAATACAGAAAACAGAATATAAAATAATGCACTAGCTGCAAGTAATCAAAAGCTATTGTGTGAAACTGCACATTCAACACTGTAGGCTGAAAATGGTTCTGTTGTATTCTCTTGTTTTTTCCCATTCTGGAAAATAGCAACAGAAAACACCTTACAACCTGTTGTGAAACTCACATAAACAGTACTAATGCAAATTCTAAAAGAAGGAGTACTAATTAAGAAAAAAAAAAGTAATAAAAATTATTTTTTCTTTTGGGGTTCCAAATAGGAAGCCTAACACAAAAGTAGGGATTGGATTAATTTATGATTATGGATTAATTTATGATTGGATTAATTTATTATTATGGTTTAAGATAATCTAATAGAACTATAGTAAACATTCCTGCTTATTTTTTTAAGAAAAATTATTTGTTTTTACTAGAAAAGGAAACAAAATCACCCACAAATATTTAACAGTTTCCTAGTTTAGTGAAAATCAGAAGGTTAGCAGTTCAGGGTAAGATTTACTTTATGTTTTGCTACAGGAAGAACTAATTTATGCATTTAGCAGAACAATGCATTTGTGGGATAGACCATCATCTGGTAGATTCCTTAGCAATAGTTCCTTAATTCTCTTCTGGTAAGTTTGTTATTGTTTCTAAATGCATCCTTGCTAAAGGATGAAAAATTAATAGCTGAATCCCCTAATACCTGCATTCAGCAGCTTACACACATACTTACATGTAGGTATGTGTAAACAGTATGTCACAAGACATTAAGCTTTTTTTACTGTAATTTGAAAATATCTGTCTAAAGAGTAGCTGAAGTGAGCATACTAGAAAATACTGTTAGTGTGCTTCTGAGATTTTTTTTTTACAAATTAACTGCAGGTAGAATACATAATCTAATTTTATTGTAATATTCTGGAACTCATGTAAGTGACTGTATAAGAGGCAAAGAGCCAACGGTGAAAATGACACAGATTTTGAGCAACAACAGAAGGTGTGTTCAAGGCTACTCTGACACCTCCACAGGTGCAGTGCCAACAGAGAAATTTTGTGAGCATTCCCAGCAACTGGAAGAATCTCAGCTTCGAACAGCTGTAAAGGTGTATATTCCTCAACTGCATATACCAGCAAATAATTTTCTTGTATGTGTGAACTTCTAATCTGAAGATTAATCTCTCACTGAAGAACTGGCTTCCATTACTGGTGCTCATCTTTCTGCCTTCAGTGTTGGAAAGATGTGGCAATTTTGCATCAGCCAGTCCTCAGCAGTGCACCCAAAAGTCCACCTGGAGCTCATGCACTCCAGAGGAATCTCAAATGAGAGATTTGAGGGAAGGTGTTTAATAAGCCCACATTTTGCCCATTTTTTTTTTTTTCTTAAAGAAAAAGGCTGAAGGAAGCCATTAAAGACCATATAAATTAACTTTTCTCAGAAGGATTCAATTTTTAGGAAAAAAGAATGGTGATCCTGACACCAGAAGACAATGAGATTTCTTAAAAATAATAGTTTCAGAAAGGTGGAACCCCCTTTTAAAATTATGATTTATTAGCTAGCAATAGCTCGTAATTATTTGTGAATTTGGCAGAAAGTCTGCACTATGTTCACAGTTGCATTGCTGTGTTGCATTCCCCTCTGAGTTCTCTGGAAAATAACCTTTGTGAAAATATAAATCACAAATTAAGTATCGGAGAGACTTATCAACAGATGTGAATTCTAGTAGATTAAGCAAAATGCTTAGAGCTGTGGCTGCTGCCAAGTAATTTTGAGAAGAAACTCAGTGTGGAACAGATTTTTTTGCTATGAATGGTTAGATATCCTTGCCTGTATTTGTGACTTTAGGAGTGGAATAATTGTGTTTTTTTTCTGCAGCATTGAAAAATTACCTGACAGGAGGGCCTCAACCACAAGAATGCTTCTCCTTGCTTATAATTCAAGAAGCAATAGTTTTGTCAATACAAGTTATTAAAGAAATTAATGCTCAGAAAAATTAATCAGTCAAATGAAGCTTATAAGCAACACTCATCTAGTTACTCATCTCAATTTATACTACTTATACAACAGCAGAGCCTCTTAGGCACACCTGACATTTGTGTCCCACTGAGCAAGACACAGCATGTAACCTCAGTAAAGCAGTCCTTCCCTTTAAAAATTAATATCTTAAATCAATGCAACATAGATGTATTCAGGTGAATGGGAGAGAGGCAGAACATGCAGCCAGTCTCCTCCACTGTGGGCAGGAGAGGGAGCAGCAGCAGGGAGCAGCCAGGTGGCTTTCCCAGAGCTTCCATGGAGCAGTGCAATACACTCAGAATATAAATACCTAATATGCTGCCCCGATGCTGCAGCCACGTGGCCCTAACACTGGAAACATCTTCAAATTTGAATGTGTTCAAGTTTCCTCTCAGGAGCAATTATGCCACTACCTCTGAGCAAACAGGGGAGTGACCATGAACTGCCTGCTATCTGCCAGATGGGCTAAATGAAGCAGTTTCTTCTGTGTCAGTAACACTGTGGACTAAATTAGTCTGAGGACCTGAAACTTGTAATAATCAAATCACAAAAAATGTACATACCTGTTTTAAAAATGGCTTTTTCACTGGGTAAACTGCAGCCTGTGCCATTCACAGCCATGACCCACACACTGTAGCAGCGATCTGGCTCCAGGTCCTCCAGAATGCAGTGGCTCTCTTTCACTGTCACTCTGTACTCTTCCACTAAGGCTAGGAGAAAATACACATGCACAGGACCTCATTGGTTGCACTGGTAGGGCTTACAACTAAGCCTCTCAAATAACATATTAAAAACAGTCAATTGAAAAACATCTAGAAGTTATTACTATCTAAGATTTCTATATTTCACTCTGACAGAAAGCTTTTGACATGCCCTTGAGCTGAGAGTACAAAATGCCATGGCAAGTGGAGATTATTACCCTCATTGCTGCTGGACTGCAAGTTTGGGACATGGAATCAGCAGTTACCAACCCTGGTGTTACCAACTCTATAGCAACAATTCTTCATAATGAACTATATAGCACTTAGGTATAAATTACCTATTACAAAAATCCCTAAACATCCTTTAGCCTGGACATATATGGATTTGTGCAGAGCCTGGTCTGCTTTGAGCTTTTTAACAAATGAGCATTTCAATCCCCTTTATCAAATTTCAATTTTTAACGTGAAAAAGTCTTTGTCTACATGTGGAAATACCTTCCAATGCTTTTTCAATGAGGACATATTTCTGAAGCATGTGCAGGGTCTTAAAAACATAATGAAATCTCTCCCCTTGGGAGCTCTGTCTGCAGTCCTCATGAATAACAATGGGGCAGCATGGACACATCCTTGCTGATGGTCAGGCCTGGTCATGAAAAGGCACTTCACCAGTTGAAAACAACTGCCCTTGACTTTACAGAGCATGATATTATCTTCCATTTGTGGGGACAAAGGGGAGGAGAAGAAACGACATCTTCGTCACAACCTCCCCCACCACTGCCTATCTTTAGTTCAATATGTGATGTCTTCACAACCATTCTTCTTCCCATGTCCTGGGCACTCCCTGCAGCTCATCCTCCCATCTGCTTACCCCAGGCAGGGCAGAAAGGGCATGATCTTACGCACCCCCTGCATCTTTGCTGGCTTGCAGCTCCTCTGTACAGTAGACCTGGAAGCAGTCGATGGTATCCCCGTCATTCACAGCCCAGTAGACAGCAATGGAGGTGCTGGTGGCTGAGTTTGGCTCCTGAGGTATGACAGTTGGTGTCTGTGGGACTGAGAGGAAAGTCTCCCAATGTTATACATACTTCTGTGTTTTCAGCCAAATTACCTACAAATTCATGAGTCAACCCAATTGCTTTTTTTCACTCAGGTTGCATATTTCCAGAGAGCAAGTACAGCAGAAAATATGGAATACTGGTGCAGTCTTAGAGCAAGAGAACCTCATAAACTAGCAACAGAAAAAATTATCTGCTCAGCATTGGAAACTTCCCATTTCCCTCACAAGTCTGGACAAAATAAGATGCAGTCCCAGTACTGGGACCACCCAAACTCAGCACAAAGCATTTGCCTATACGTTCCTCCAGAGAGATATGTGTGCAGTGATCCTGGGAATGTGGGCAGCGGAAAGGACCTGCCACCCCAGGAGGGGATTCCGTGGCACTGACAGGAGCAGGGATGGGTTTCAGGTGGAGAAGGTCTGACTGCACTGGGGAGCAGGAGGCTCCCTGCACTCTCAGGGTGGGCTCCTACTGCCCACACACAGCTTGGCACTCCTTCCTACCATGGTCATTTCCCCACAGACCCAGGGGACTGACAATTCTTGGTTTGCAGGTGAACCTGAACTCCATGGGGCTACCAGGATAATTCCTCACAAGTGCTTCAAAGATTTCCAAGGCTCCTTAGCTTTTACACAAACTTATGTCTCCCGATTGACACAGATCCAGCCCCAGATGAGATATTGTTCGCCTCTGTGATTATGTCATAGAAGAGAGGGAGGGCAAAGAAAGAAGCAAAAAGCCCCAAAAGATGATAATTGTTAAAATGATTGCAGGGAACGAAAATACATGGTTCTATTTCTTCACCCAGTAAATTTCCATATTTCATGAATTCTCTTAGAATCTCAGCAGAAAGCTTTAGCTTTCTTTTCAGTTATCTCCACAGTAATGATGATAATCCCCTGTGGCATGAACAAGGCAAATGCAGATGCTGGCTGTTTCCTTATGATTTATACAGAGAGCTACCAGTACAGTAGCATTACATCTGCTTCCCATTGAAAAAAAAATTATCCTTCTTATTGCTAAAAACAATCCTCATTTTGTCTTTTGACTGCATCTAGAGTTGGCAATTAAGAAATTTATCATCTTTAGGAAAATACTTCCTTTCAGTGGACATGGTGGGGAAACCATTTTTCTTCCCTATGAAGTTGCCTAGAAACCACTATTTTTGATCACAGAAACCCCACAGTTGCAAGATCTATTATTATGCCAAATATGAACAGAAGCTAGTTTACTGAATGAAACTTCTGAAAAAAAAATATAGATCAAAATTCAGTTCAGCAATATTGAGAAACATTTAATTTCTACTTTCCTTTTGCAAAATATGAAACAATTTGAAAGGAAGCAATTTCAAAACAAGAAGCTGAACTATTCTCTCCAGAAACAGAACATTTATGCATTATCCTCTTTTAAGTGGCCCCTTTAAAAGTGAATTTTAATTTAAAAATGAGGTATTTTTGCAATATGAGTTTGACTAAACTATATTTTAAACAGAAAAGTGACATATGTTCTCATCAGTTCAGTTTTCATTGAAGTCTTGTGGTGTAAGGAAGTTTTCTGTCATGCTATGTAATCTCCACAGTAATCCATATGTTTTCCCATGTAATGAGAAACAATATTTCCTTGGCATTGTGTACTTGAAGAATAAGAGCAGATACATTCCTCTCTATTGGAAGCTTTTTTACAATCAGCAAAGGTCCTCGCCTTCCAGTATAAAAGGCCAGGACTTGCAGTGGGCTTTGGAAATAATATTTTTTAATTTTTTAAATTATTCCCACTCTTCTATTTCCAGGCAGAACCTGAGTGCAGTTATGCTCAACAGCATGCTGCAAGGGTTTTTTATGCTAATACATTGTGAATGGAAAAGGATTACATGAAAGGAGGAAGAATTTGAGGGAAAAGGACTTTTCATTAGTGGATACGGAACATTTGGAAATGGAAGGAAGATGTTTCTGAAGTGGTGAAAATAATGTTCTATGAAATTGTTCAGTAAAATGTAATTCTTTCTAAAGGAAAATACATGGATTGAAGAAACCTGGCACCTTCATATGCATTTCATCATATGGCTTCAGTCAAATAAAATTCCAAGTGTCTGAAATTAGTCCCAATATGTAATAAATTCACAGCCATTCAATTCAATTCCAAATCAAGTTTCATGTATGCATGTAACTATTTTCCTTCAGGAAGGTTGTAACCTTGAAAAAACAAGCTATCAAGCAAATGAGAAAAAACACACCAAGTTTGTTGTCTACTGCTTGCCAAAGTAAAAATCATGATAGCAATTGAAATACTTTGCAGTAAAAGTGAAGACAGAAAATTAGGTATGATAGATATTAAGTAGGCATAAAGGATAAGGAGCTTTGAAGATCTCTTACTAGTGGACAGTTATTCATATGCAGTTTGTCAAAGCAATCTGGTCTAGAGTCATCAAACACAGTAGCTAATGCAAACTAACCCAGAAAGCAGACTTCAGCAGTTTAGGGAAATAAATGTTGGAGAGGCTTGTGGGAAAAAGAAGTATGTGGCTCTGTTCTACTGTGTGACCTTGCCAGTAGGCAGCAGCCTAGGAGGAAAGAATGACTGTACTCATGGGACTGCAAGAGGAGGTTTAGGAACTAAGCCAAGAAACACAGCACATTTGCAACAGCAAGTTAACTTGCAGAGGGAGTTACAAAATCGGTCTTTTTATCTGACTTCCTAAAAAAAATTACACTTGCGATAATGCTGCATACTCAAGTGCCTGTCCAGCTTCACCGGAGAAGCTTCAAATGCCACAGGCAAGTTCATACACATCTGACAAGGACATTAACAACTCAGATATATTTGAGTTCCTCCAAGTCTAAGAAAAGCAGTGGTGTGGAGGAGAGAGACAACCTCCCCATAGTGTCACTGCTAAGAAGTTCACTCAGCCCCTATTAGGCACCAGAGACTCAGCACATGGTGGGCACTTCTCCAATGTCCTATTAGTCTTGAAAATCCCGCCAGTGCACAAAGCAGCTTAGGGAATCTAATGCTCTAGTTTCAGTGCTTAGGGACCAAACACATGAGAAAGGGGCTTTCCTTCAAAACCCAGGGAGTGACTGTGATGTCAGTGCTGCGTGTGGCAATGAATGGAAGGGCACAAAGCATGACAGTGAGATGTGAGATCCCTAAACCACTGTTCTCTGGAAAAAGAAACCCTAGGGTAGGTTCCCATTATGAAGAAAATGAATCCACAAAATCAGCTGTCAAAAAAAATCAGCAGAAAACCGAGTCAGGCTTTTTAAAGGACATGAAATATCAGACAGAGATAAGTAAATGTCTTTCTTATGTGCAATTTTTACTACTACCCTCCCAGGCAGAGGCTGTTTTTAGCTATAGTTAACCACTTTCCCTTTCACAACTTTTGTGGGTTTCAGGTGCCTCCATTCACTTGTGACAAGTCCAGGAACCTCAGCCATCAACCAGCCCCTGCTCTCAATTCCCACACCAAGCACTCTGGGACTGCCACCCTCAGAGAAGAGAGCTCAGGAGGCTCTTTGATTGCTTATTCTGTCTCTGCATGCAAGGAAAAGCAACTTCTTTAGCCCTAGGAGATTTACAGATCAATATCTTCAGCTTGTCTGAGGTACAGATGTCTAAAATTATGCAAGAATCCCCCAGTTTAGCACTTCTCCCTCTTGCTCATCTTACGGTACCTACTATAAGCCAAACACATGTGCACAATTAAACTTCATTTTACATTCAACTCTGATTGCTAATTACATGGTTTGAAAATCTGCACTTCTCATATAGATTCTATTTTTAGCTTCCTGAAATTTCCAAAATATTGCCAAAATGTTAGCTTTTGTGAAGACAAAATCCGGAGTTTCTTACCAGCCACGTGTTGTAAGGAGTGTTGATTGCTTTGTCCTGGACTGTCTGCAAAGTGCTCAAACAGTGAGAAAGCACTGGGCACCTTCTCCAAAGAGAGAGTGGTATCCATTGCAGAAAGTAACCTAATTGGAAGAAAACACATATCTGTTCATGCAAATCCTTTGTGGTATAGCATAGTTTTCCACAGGCCAGAAGCAAAGACCACATGACATACATTTATTTGAATATTTCCTGGGAACTTGAGGACAGCATACAAGGAGAAGCTGTCCCCCAGATTTTGAGCATTTACACCATACTGCAGTTTCAAATCAGGAGCACAGTGAGAGTGTTCATGGCCTGTTTACACTTAACCCATGAGAATGTGAAGATGTGGAAGTTCTCAGCAAGACTCTCAAGAACACAGGGGTTTAGGCTTGCTAATGCAGTGCCTTTAAAGGTTACAGACCTTAGAGCTAACTACAGCAGCTGACTCCAGAGATGTAATGTAAGGCAGCTGCTTGTGGCAAGCCAAAAAACATGAGAGGGAAGATAGATACCACTTAGTTAGCCTGTATTTGCTGGGTTCATTATATGAAAAAAAAAAAAACAACCAAATATTTTTAACCATGGGGCAGAAGCAAACTCAAGAAAATGATCTGAATTTTATATTTCTCCCCTTCATTTTATTTCAGCCATTGAAGTAGTTAATTATGCATAATCTTAACAAAGCACAACAAATGTAAAATACACTTTCTTTAGAAAAACATGCATTGTTAAATAGACTTGTTCTTAGCCTATTTTAGGTAGACAGGCATTATCAAACTAAATAACCAAGCCCATGCACCAAGCAGAAAAAACTTTATTGTGTAAGTAAAAAATTAAAGATCAAGATGACAGAAAGCCTTGGAAAATTGTTTTGTCCCATTTTACCTGCTCTAATCTTATGCAATAAACTAAATGCAGATATATGACCAGATAGTTTGACTTGGAACAGGTGAGTGCAGATTTATAGTTCTAATTCTGGAAATTTATAGAAACCTTGAAGGGGTATTTGGCACATTCTCTTCAGATCTCTCTCCTGGGGCTGTAATTTGACTGCAAACTGAAACCCTGGTGTCACTGTTATACCCCAGTCAGTGTCAGCACACATACCCCTGTGATGGCTGAGGCAGAGCTGACAAAGGTATCTTTGATATGCACTGCACAGTGCCCAAGCCCTCTGGGGAAAGTCAGGGGTGGTGGGCTGGGCAGTTCAGTTCTGGGGGCTTGCACAGGAGAAGCCTGCAGCCAACTGCTCTGAATGTGTTCCCTTTATTCTAGAAATTGTTTTGGGGAATGTGGGCTTGTTGTTGAACATTTCTCTCATAAAGGATAGGACTCACTAAAATCACTCCCTTGAGAAAATCCCCCATGGCAGAGAACAGTGTGTGATTGTATGCTTTTATACAGGCAGGCGCATTTATGCTGAAGCACCAGCCCTGTGACACACCCTGAATCAGGCAGTGCTGATGGAAAGCCATAGGAAAACATCAGCTCGTAGTCTCCTAGCCAGGTTTTGAAATCTACTTTATCTAATTTTTCTGGAGTTGTGTTCAGAAGCATAGTCAAACTACCTGTGTTGCTTTGTGTTATAACCTTTCGAGACTAAGAGATACAGAACCAGACTAATGAAAAAATAAATGTATCAGTGGTATATCTGATCAGTGTAAAAGGTGAAAGCATGGTTACAATGGCTATTGTATATGTATGTATAGTAATAACTAAAAGGAGCATCTTATATCCATGGATATTTAAAAATATCCGTGTAGAGGTTTAAGATTGAGCTGATGTTTTTATGTGCTATTTGTTTAATTAATGTATTATACAACATGTGCAAAACACTTCAAAACCAGTTACAGCAACGAGTATAAAGCCGCTTTTCTAAATTTCATTATTTGCAAGGTTTGTAAAGGTAGCTCTGATTACTAGCAGTGTGTATTCAAAAGCTCCCAAATACTAAATGAAGCATCCAGCATGCTAGGCCTAGTACTCACTACAGTGCACTTAACCCATACTTCATGTACCTTTTATTCAATTCTTTAGATGACTAGAGAAGGAAAAAGAAATGTGTTAACAGTTTTCAAAACCCCCAAAGTGTTGAAAAGCCAATCATGATCATCTAACAATCTTTCTACTCTCCATAGACAAAAAACACACAGCTTTATTGACTTGAGCTTTTGTGGAATGCTGCTCATTCACACCAGCAGAGAATTTGTTTCCTTAGAAATATTTCATTTCAAAGCTCTGGCTCAGCAGGGTATTAGAGTGTAAATCTCACTTTAAGTGCTTGAGGGTTCAGTATTCAATATCTAGATCTAAAGATGGAGCATAGTTAAGTAATTTCTAAAACCAGGACTTTAAGAGAAAGAAATCACTTGCACATTAAGAATAGTTAAATCCAAATTCTGGCTAAAATGTACTTCATAACTTCTTATTACTAGAAGCCGTGTGAGATTTTTACTTATAGAATGAGAGTTTGTCCCACACCCCAAGAACCTTCAGATAATGTTTTCTGCCCTGTAAACAAAAAAGTTCCCATCCTTTATCACTAACAGAAGGGAGCAGGGAAATCCGGTAATTTTCACACTCCCTCAAAAGAGTTACAGATTACAAAATTATGTATTTGCTAAAGCACTGTTCCTTACAAAATCAGGAAAATAATCTAGATATTTCATCCATCCCAAAATAGCAAATCTATCACACAGCATTCATTTGGTTACAGGATACTACAACATTGTGTGGCACAGAGCAGGGAAGAAAGCCAAATATTTCTGTAGCTGCTGTGGCATATGTAGGCTTGCATTTTGAAAACTGGCTTATTTTGCATGAGTGATCAGTCTTTAGACAGTAATTTGACCTTTCTATTTCTGGCATTCCAAGATAGTTTATCTGCAATTTCCAGGCCACATTCTAATTCCATAATGGGGGAAGTTTATTGTCCCAGAAACTCCATCCTCCTTGAGACTGGTAATACACTTGTGGAGAGAAGAAAGTGCTGTAGCTCACTTAAGGACAAGTTTTGCAGCACCAGAACCGTATTGGAGGACCCAGGACAGCAACACCCTCTGAGCAAACTGAGCAAAGTTGACTGTATGAGTTAGTAGGGCCAGTCCTGCAGATTCACTGAAGATGTTTTTAACATCCAGGAAGGACCATTAGAGTCACACATGTCATGTGCACAGCCCTCAACCTATCTCATTGTCATGGTTTCACCCCCACTCAGCAACCAACACAGCCCCTCACTGTTTTTCAACAGCAATTATTTATCACAGCCTCAGCAATTTGAGTGTATAAATACTGTCCATCTGCTCATTAAAAAACACCCCCAGACAACAACAAAATCCCAAAACAACAAAACACAACAAAAAATCCTACAGCCCAGAAACAATTTTACTTTCCAATTACATTTTCTTGTTTCAAATATCACTTTCTTGTTGTTTATTATTATACATAATATGTATTTTATTTCTCATATGATAAAATACCTAAATACTCTAACTTCTCTTACTTCTCAGTTATTAATTCTAGATATATTATCTGTCTTTTCAACTTCTTAAAAAATGAACAGGACCATTTGACTAGCATAGGTCATATTTTTGTCCTGTGCATCCTCTCTATAGTTCTCTCTGAGAATTCCCACATCAAAACCAAATGATCCAGCAGTTTCAGAGTAGAATAGCTGAGCTAGCAGGATTTAGCAGTCTTAAAAAAAATAAATTCATTGAGATGCTAGATACAGAAATCCTTTACTAACTAATACATAAAAGCTACAGCATGAAAGCCCATTCTACTTACATTTAGGAAAACAAATCCATCCACTTCATCTGTTTCTTTTACTGTTGTCTCCAAAGTTTCCTTTGCTGAATCAACAGTTTGCTGGAAATTTACCATCTGCTCATACAGGTACTCCATTTTCATCTTCTTCACTTCCTCAAAGTTCTCTGATTTCTCATCATATTGTGCTACCACTTTCTTAAGCATCTCTTCATTCTGCTTTTCCAGTAAGTCTGCATTTTTCTTACAGTTTTCCTGCAGAATAAAATGACAACCCTTAATGAATACACAGAAATTCTCAATTACCCAAACACAACCCATCCACCATATTGATTCTGGCACATTGACAATAAGACAATTTTATTTCTGCAGACAAACTCCTCTGGGAGAAATATCTCTAGAGAAATACATCAATAAAAACAACAGCATTTTGGTGGGAGTTTTTTGTTTTTGCTTTTGTTTTTGTTTTTTTTACTGTTAGAGTTTAAAATTAAACTTCAGTATTTCATCACTGAGATAGGAAGTCTGACCAAAAAATAGATAATTATGCATACTTACAACTGCAGTTAATACAGTTCTCAAGGCTTAAGAACTTGGGCAATCAGAATTTAACATACTGGCCAACTAATTTAAATGCTTTGACTGAGATTCTAAACAAGACACTATGTGAGCTTTTTGTAGGCATAAACAAAATTAAGGGAACTTTTTCCTTCAGTGTTTGACAGTTACATATTCCACTTTGCAGTAATGTGCAAAAAAGCAATCTTTTTCTTCCTCCAAAGTTAACACCTTCCAGTGAACTTCCAGAGAAGTCAACTTGAGGAGTGGAGCAGCAGCCCATTTTAGTGGAAGCAGTAATGCTGCACAAGTAGGCAAGCACATCTCAGAAGTAATGCTGTAGAAGAAAAGAAGGCTAGTGTGATAAAACACTGGACTTACCTCAACTGAGTTAAATCGCAACTCAATATCACTCACAAACTCTTCAATCTTCATTGACTTTTCTTCCAGTGCTGTTAGCAATTTACTTAACTGATCCTGAAATTTAAAATGTTTCAGGAACTTAGGCAGGATATTTTACAAACTTTTACACAGAATTTATTTTAGGTGAATATTTTTATTTTGCCATGAGCCGCCATTGGAACAATTGCTAAGTAAGTTTAAGTATCACCCTGGCTGCAAAGACAAGCACAGAAATAGCAACTGGAACAGTCACAGAACTGTTTCCAAACCAAAATAAGTGAGCTCAGTTCGATAAGGCACTCTGTCCACACAAGGTGTTGAACGTTATGAATTCCAATGCAGCTTTGCCAGAGCGTGAGGTTACTCAGAAACTCATGAGTGTCCTTGAGAGATTACAGGAACAAGCCCACGAAAAGGAAGATAACAAAGGTAGTTGTGAGGGTAATAGATTATACTGTGTCATGGCTTTTTAAGTTAGAATTCTAAAGATAGGTATCTGTCTCTATATAGATCGATATATAAATAAATATATACACCTTTATGTACTTTTATGTGTATGTGTATATATATAAATCCTATAAACAAGAAGTCATCAAAATCACTGGTTGAGTTATGTGGAAACAAAAGCATTCCAAGGCACAACAGACATCAGAGACAACTCAGAACTTTTTCTTAGTGCTTCTTGACCTTTTATGAAAATAAGTTGCTCAATTGCTCTGGTGCAATTCATAATTTATAAAAACAATTAGTTTTAATTTGATGGCATAAATCTAAAAGGAAGGTTATCTTCCTTTGTAATAGCTTCTTAATATGGCAAAATTTTACAGCTAGATCTGTATAAAAACAGCACAAGACTTTACATTAATTACAAAGGTGCCATTGGAGAATACAACTGAAAGCTCCCTTTAAAAATATTCAGGGAAATCATCAAGATTTGGAAACAAATTTCTGTTTGTCAGGATGAACTGTAAAATCTGACAAATGCCATCCCTAGCTCATTTAATTTACTGTGAAGCTATGTTTTCATGCAACAATAATAAAAAAAAGTTTTAAAAATTTAAAAATAATGCAACAAGCATTTTGCTACCTTAATGTTTTCTCAGTATTTATGCAGAAGTAACAAGAGACATACAAATGCAGTCTCAAAGTAACCTGAGCCCTGAGTGTTAGAAATCATGTGAAACCAGGCCTGTGTTGCAGCCAGATTTAATATTGGCTTCATGTCCGTGCTCCACAGCCAAGGAGTGATGTCATGGGATGTTTGTTTGCAGCTTGACTTGCTGTAATGTGGGTACATTTGAGGGGTGGCTGGGATCTGTGAGTTTATTGCTGGCTTACTCGTGCCTTGTTATCACTGCTAAGTCAAACCTGAATGGCCATTTATAAAAAAAACTCTACATCTGAGCACCATGGAGATGGTTTGCAAGTACTGATAACTGAAACTGTTACATTGACTCTTACTTTTGATTTCTCTCTTCTACATATGATATAATACATATAATGTAAACACCACGAATACAAGCCCCTCTGGAATTTCAGCAAAATGGCATGAAATCTATATTCCTATCAAATGAACATGTGCCAAAAAAAGAGACCTCACATTTCATTAACTGGGGTGAGAGTAAATAGCTGGTAATCATGAAAGGAGCATCTGTATAATGTGTTCACTTGTACATGAGCAGATCTGATATTATAGAAGTAAGGTATCAAATACATGTTGCTTTCACAAGCAGAACTGTACTTTAATGTATTTTCACTAGTACTTATGTATTTTCACTAGTATTTATAGCAATTTACTAGCTTTACTGAAATGGAGGACATTTTATCTGTCTACTGGGGGGAGCAGCTTGGATATGTGGCAAATAGGACTTTATAAACTTTCATCTGTGCTGACACCACAATGCTATTGGCACAGATCTCAGAATGGTTTGGGTTGGAGGGGACTTTAAAAACCATTTAGTTTATATTTCCTTGTCATGGGCAGGGAAATTTTCATTACACCAGGTTGCTCAAAGCCCCATCCAGCCTGCCCTTGAACACTTCCAGGAGTGGGGCATCCACAACTCCTCAAGACAACCTGTTCCACTGCCACATCACACTCACTTTGAAGATTTTTTTCCCCTAATTTCTAATGTAAACCTGCCCCTTTCAGTTTAAAGACATTGCCCCTTGTCCTGTCACTACTTGCCCTTGTAAAACCTTCCTCTCCATTTTGCAGATGAAAGTAAATGGAACAGAAAATAGGTTGGCATTTCAACAAAATTGTGTAGGCTGATTTGTCTAACATCTCCAATCAACCAACGCATGTAAGTAGGACAGGGAACACTTTATGATGATACCAGTCTCCACATATGGAGGTTTCTGTACCTTGTCAAGTGAAGCGAGCTGCTGTTACTGAAGTTTTATTTTGATATAAACAACATTTTTCCCATTTCTCCCCCTACATATCAAAACCAGAACAAATTTACACAGATAAGACTGAAAGATGGAAAGTGTGCTAACAACTGCATATAAACAAGGCCATTCAAACTTCTAAATAAATTAAAATACCAGCTTAGCAAGTCTAGGACTGCAGAGAACATCCTAATAAGTTGTTCTCCCTTCAAAATCTCCAACAGGTCTATAGGATAGCTTTTATTTAATACATACTGTATCTTAGCTTTAGGACTGCTCTTGGAAGCCTCTCCTCTTGAAAATGCAACAGAACTGGAGAAATTAGCCCTAGTAGCTTTTTAATTTTTTACCCAAATTAATTACCTTCATCTTGGTTGCAGCATCATCTAGTGTTGTGACTTCATGGTCTTTATGTTCTCCAAAAAGCTTGTCAATAGCAGATATTGGGCATTTGCAGTGGTAACAATAAGTGTCTACTTGTGATTTCTTCAGTTCTCTTTGTGGGCTCTCAACTTGAGGAATGTTTGTTGCTGATTTTTCAGGATACATCACCACAAATCCTGAATCTTCAAGCTCAATAGGAGTTCTTTGTTCTGGCTCATTAACAAATTCATAACTATCAGCAGCATGATCAAAGGAGTCCCTGTCTTCAAATAATAGCTCCTCATGTGTAAATTGAGATGATATTTCATCTTGCAAAAGCTCTTCTTGTGTAATCACATCATAGTCCATTGACTCAGCAAAATCTTCATAAATATCACCGTGCTGCTCCTCTCTTTGCAAGTCTGGATTCTCTGTTTGCTGAATTGTAGGAACACAGGACAGATGTTCCTGAGTAAACTGATCATCTACACTGTCTTCAGTGGGAGCCCTGACATATGGAACATACTTTTCCATTTGAGGAAATGCTGTTGTATCTTGTAGTTCTTCCTGCTTAGTACCAGCTTCTTGATATGCAGCTCCCTCATAATCCACTTGATGACTGTATATTTGTTGACTTGACTGCTCTGGTAACTCTTCAGTTCTTTCTACTGGTACATTTTCTTCTTCTCTTTGTTCAGTGATATCAGTTCCTGCACCTGAAACAACTGTTTTGCTTCCAAAAGGAATGGCATGCGTTGGCTTGCAAATTGTTGCTTGAATGTTGCTGTCAACCTGGAATTTGTCTCTCTCCATAACAACTCTTTCTGACAGAACCTCTGTTTTGACATATTGAACATCACCAGATCCCTGCTCCTGCTTGTTCTCTGAACTCCAAGCCAAAATTCCTTCACTAAAGGACTCATCTTCTGGTATCTGATCTTTCTGAGGCCCTATGGCTTTGCTTGGAATTTCATCTTTAAGAATGTATTTTTCAAAATACATTCCAGTTCCATCATCTGTGTCTGAATTTCTACTAGGAAAAGAAGCATTAGAATTACCACTTTCTTCATCAGAGGGAGTCTCATCCTTTGTCTTTTCTCCTACTGCTTCCGCATAGAGGTCCTTGTATAAAAATGATAGAGCAGGGGGCTCCTCTAAAAGCTCTGGGTTAATTGCAGCAACAGTGGTAGGGAACAAGAGAGATCGTTCTAGCACTCCTTCTTCTGAATCAAAGAGTGGGGTCCCCGGTGACTTGCATTCATCTTCTACATTTGTTATGCTTTTACTGCTAGAATCAATTGATTTCTGTAGTGGTAAAGATTTTGAAGCATCTGTGTAGGATTGAATTTTGCTTTCTCCTTTTATGGTACCATAAAAGACTTCATCCACGTCCTCAAGTAAGGAAAACTCTTCCAAAGTATCTACCTCAGTACTCTCTTCAAAAGATTTGACTTCTTCCATAGATTCATTGGGGTCTTCTGTCACAGGAGACAATGAAATTCGTCTTTCAAATTGTGGCTTAACTGGGGATTTGTCATCAATCAATGTGTATTTTTCAAAATAATCCATATCACCAGTACCATTATTAGGATCTAACTTTGCACAATTATTGTCTTCTGGCAATGGGAGATTTTCTTGCTGAGTTTCTTCAGTTTCCTCAGCATCATCCTTTTTGACCAATTCTATTAGTTCATGGTTTGCAGTCTTTCCCAATACTGAACTTTCTGAAATTTCTGTGGTTCTTCCAGAAGTTAGGGCTCTCTGGCCATCCTCAACTGATTTTCTTCTAAATGAAGGATTTGTTTCCAAGTATTCTAATTTATCAGGCATGTGTTTACTTTCTTCTTGATCAACAGAAGAAATATGTGTAGGTGCATGAATATTGAGAATTTCATAACCTTCTGAAATAATATTAAATAGATCTTTTTGTTCAGTAGTCTCCAGAGCACACTGACTGTCTTCTACAGTACTTGCATGTTCCATTTCTTCCTCTTCTCCTCTCAAGTAATGTTCAGGCATTTCAGACATTTTGCCTACCTCCAGGTGTTGCATTGCAATTTTTGTAAGATTTAAAGTACTAGCTTCATGCTCCAGAAGTTTATCTGGATCTTGACTATCTCCCACTAGAGATGGTAAATCGTATCTTTGTGTTATGGGACTAGCGTCTGAGGATTTCCTGTGAGGAAATTTATTTGACACTGGTTCAGAACCTCTAAATGTATGTCCCTCAGTCTCTGTAGTCCCATGATCTGTAAATTCTGTGCAACTTCCAGCTGGGAATTGTTTTGATGCAAAATCAGAAGCTTCATTTGGAGTAAGCTGAATTGCTTGCATGTCTCCTTCTGCAGCCCCTATTGGACTAATTGAGGAAGCTTTCACCTGTTCTACCAGCCAGCTAGCCAGCCCAAAAGATGGAATATCTGGGTTCTGCTTTTCTTCAGAACTTGAGCTAAGGGACTTAATCTCTGCTGAGGAAAGGCTGCCCCATTCACCAGAATAATGCTGAGTTTTGTGTGTCACAGTTTCATGAACAAGGTCTGATGAAAAAACTCCCAGATGCTCTGAGGTCTTTTGGTCTTCAAAACATTGTTGAATTTCTCCTTCAGTATAAATGTCTGAAACTTTCTTAGATTGCTTTCCAAGCATGTCTGCTACATCAGATAAAGATGATGGAATATTTTGTTTCTTTTCATCATCAGCGAGAGCCACTGGTACTGGCTTTTCAAGTTCTGACTTTCCAGGTAATTTATGTAAAGGTATAAATGACTCTGATGACACTGCTTGCTGGTCTGCTACACCAGTCACTTTTGACTCTGTGATCACTGACCTTGGCACTGTCTGTACATCAGGTTGCATTTCTTGCTTATAGGGGGAACTTCTTAGCTGGTCTGGAGACAAATATATTGTCTCCAACAAAGAAGATTCTGGCTTCTCTTGGTCTCGCACTTGAGACATACTCTCCAAGTGCACTGTCTTTAGGCTCGCTGTTTCAGGTGAACTGAGTTTAATATTTTGCAACTGTTGTTCATCGTGTGGTGGAATTACATGTTCACATTCTGATTGTATGGGCTGGGTAATAAGGGGCTGCATATTTTGATTTTCTTGTTTGGCAAGGGACTGTGTGGGAATCAAATACTCAGAGTCTGGTTTCGAATAAGATGGAACTTCTTGCTGACATGTTTCATCATCTGAATAAAATGGAACTGAAGATTCAGACTGCAGTTTTGAAGGTACGGTCAGGTAATCCTGACTTTCTAGACTTTCTGTTTTATCTGTAGAATATGATAAATTTAGTTGTTCAGATTCTAATTGCATAGCTGTGTGAAAGTAATGTGAAGTCTGTTCTCTCTCAGCTTCAGGTAAAATTTCACATTCAGCCTCTGACTTTGCAGCTACAGGCAAATGTAGAAGACTTTCTGTATGCTCTGCTTCTTTTCTTGCAAAAAAGGACCCTGGCTGAGGCAGAGCAGTTTCTGAGTATTCTGTTTTACAGGTGGAATAAGATATATCTAAATGTCTGGGGGGTGAGCCTCCAGTTACAGAGCTTGTTTCAGAGACAGTGTGTGAAGCACACAAAGGTTCAGGCACTGTTTGTTCAGTAAGAAATGAATATGTTTGAATTTTGTGGCTGTCTGCTTCCTCAGTGGAAAATGATAAATTTTGTTGTTCAGTTTCCATCTGACCACTTTGAGATGAGGGAGCACAAATGTCTTGCTTCTGTGAATGTCCTGCTCTCAGTGGGGCCATTTCACGCTTTTCTGCTTTGTAAGTAGGACTTAATAAATCTGGTTGTTTGAAGTCTGCTTGGGCAGCTCCCTGCTCCTCGGTCCTGACAAAGGTATGTGCTACAGAAGGTGTTTCTGGCTGCTCCGTTTCAATACCAGAGGACTGCAAACAAGTATGTGGCTGTTCTGGCTGGACCCCATCCCTCCACTTTGTTTCACCAGTGAAATATGGTTTCTCTGGATGCTCCACCTGGACAGTCTGTGGTTGATCTGCCTTGCCATAGGAATATGATAAATCTAGTGGTTTTATTACATGAGTCTCTGCTTTGCCAAGAGAATATGACAAATCTGGATGTTTTGAATTCAGCTTTTCTGGTTGCAACTGCTCTGATTTTCCTGTGGAATAAGAAACATCAGAAGGTGTGAACCCTGCTTGTGCAGTGTCCTGTTTTTCTGTTTTGCCAGAGGAATACAAGAACTCTGGGAATTCCCCTTCCACTGGGAATATGTTTGGTTGCTCTTCCATGCTATGAGGACTTGAAAACACTGGTTGCTCCAATTTTAGTTGTACTATTTCCCCTGGGTGTAATGTATAGCTTCCCTTCTCCAGCTGTGCACTTTGTTTTTCTTCACTAACAGAAGAGGACAAGTCTGTGTGCAGTACTTTGCCCATGGCATCCATGACATTTGTATGTTCTGACTCTGGTAGAGCAGCCCATGATGGCTTTGTTTTGACAAATGAATGTAACAAACTCTGTTCTTTCAGCTCTGGCTGAGTTGTTTCATGAGGTTCTGCTGTGCCAACAGAGAACAACAAATCTGCATATTCGGAGTTTGCTTGGGAATTTTGCAGTCCTTCTGTATTCTCCCTAGAACACTGGAGCTCATGGTGTTCTGCTTGCATTCCTGCATCTTTCCAGTCCTCTGCTTTCTTGAGAGATGATGAAAACTCATTTGTCTTTTCTTGCTGTGGTTGAATATTTTCTTGCTGTACTGTGCCAGTGGAATGAAATAAATCCAGGCACTCTGAATCCTCATCAGCAATTTGAGTTTGCTGTTTTTCACCAATTGAACATGATAAATCCTTTATTTCTGCCTCTGGCCGTATGATTTCATGGTGTTCTAATCTGCCAGCAGATAAATCTGAATGGTGTGATTTTGTGTTTAAAGTTTCTTGTTCTGCCTCACTGAGAGAATGACATGCTTCTAAATGTCCCAGTTCTGTCTGTGCTTTCTTGTCCTGTGCCTCTTGTTTCAAAGAATAACACAAGCTTGGCTTCTCCTCTCCAGCAGTTTGTCCTTGCTCTGTTGTGCCAGGCCAAGATGACAGATCTGGTTTTTCTAACACTGGTTGTGTAGTTCTTTGTGGCTTTCCTTTATCAATGGAATGCAGTGAATCAGGATGCTTTGGCTCTGCTTTTAACATTTGTCTTTTCTCAATTTTTCCACTCTGGGATGGTGCATCTGGAACTCTCTGTTTCTCCTTTGCAGCTTGTGAATGCTCTGCTCTGCTGACAGGCTGTTCCTCTTTAGAGCACTCCACAGCTGTGTGCTCCATCCCTTGTTGCCCCACTTCCCTGGCCAGGGGTGCCAAGCTTGCATGACCTGGCTCCAGCTGTGCAGGTGGAATTTGCTCCATTTTGTCATGACCATACAATGCACCTGGCCCCTCCAATCCCAGATGGATTGTTTCCTGCACTTTGTTGAGGGAATATTCTAGCCCAAGGTGTTCTGGTTTCAGCTGTGATGTTTGCAGCCCTCCTACTTTGAAAACAGAGTAAGGCAAATCAGAATGTCCCTGCCGTGGTTCTGCCATTTCTGTTTCCTCTGCTGTACCCACAGAAGGTGAAAAATGTGAAATTTCCTCTTCTGGCTGAACTGTTTTCTGTTCCATTTGTCCAATGGGATAACTTTGCTCTGTTTCTTGTACTCTTTGTTGTACCTCTGTGGTGTCCAAAGGAGATATCACATCAGTATGCTCCACCTCTGGTGGTATAATTTCATTACCTGGCCTATCAATAGAAAATAATAAATTTGGTTGTTCTAAGTCCTCCTGGGCATAATCTGAAGTGTCCCTTTTACTGGGAGAATGTGTTAACTTTTCTTGCTCTAACTCCTGCTTTGTGGCTTTTTGCTGCTTTTCTCTGCCAAAAGAAAGTTTTCTATGTTTTTGCTCCAATGGTGCTACTTCTTCTTGGCTTGTCTCACCAGTGGAATATGACAAATTAGGATTCTTCATTTGCCATGGTGCAGTTTCTGGATGTTCTGGCTCTATTTGTGCAGTTCCCGGAGAAGCTCTTTTTTTACTTATTTTAGGCAATTCTTGATGTTTAGACTCAAACTTTTGAGTTGACTGTTCTTTCCCTTTAGCAAAGGAAAAGGATGAATTTGAATATTTTAAATCCAGCTGTGAGCATGACTGATTTGGGTATTGAGATTCTACTTCCATACTTTCATCTTGTGCTGCTTCACCCAGGCTTCCTTGTGAATCCAAATGTTCTGATTTTTTCTCAGTTTCTCCCAGGGTGTATGAGAGCTCTGGATGTGCTGACTCCTGCTCCACAACATCACCATGTTTTGATTCACCACTGTCCCATGAAACATCTGGATGTTCCACCTTTACTGGGTCAATTTCTTGTTCCTTCAAATGGAATGGTAAGGTTGAGTTTTTCAATAATTTTTCTTGCTCATGAGAGGAATATGGCAAATCTGGAGATTGTGACGCTATTTCCATTTCTAGTGAAGCTTCTTTTTTACTGGAAGAAGACACAAGTGTTTGCTCCAGCTTTGGATGTACTATTTCTTGTTGCTGTGATTCATGTTGTACAATTTCCTTCTCTGCTTCTGTACTTACATAAAATGTTTTTTCTGGATATGTTGGCTCTGTTTGCATTTCTTCTTGCATTTGTTTACTGAATGAATATGGCAAAGATGGATGGACTAACCCTGGTGGAGCTATTTCTTGCTGTGCCAAATTAAGTTGGTCTATGACCTGTGGTTCCTCTTTAGCCAGGCTTTCTGAAATACCTGAATACTCTATTTCCATTTGTACAGCTTCTTCTTGGTCTGTTCCCTGCTGTTTCACCTCTCTTTGTACTGTATCTTGTTCCATTCTGCCAGAGGAGCATGAAACATCTTGCTGGGGCACATTCAGTAGTGGTGTTTCCTGTTGCTGACTACCAGCAGTGGAACAGGAAGGAAAAGACTGCTCCTGCTCCATTTCTGTTGCTTCCCAAGGCTTTGCTCTGTCAGTTAATTGTGACCATGAAGTTCCTGACTCCACTCCTTCTTGCATCACTCCTCCAGTGATAAATGAGAAATCCCTCTTTTCTGAAACTACTTCTGTCTTTTCATGTTTCTCTGCTTCACTAATGAAAGATGATGGCTCTGGACCTTCTAAGTTTCTCTGTACAGCTTCTTGTACCATCTCTTCCTGGGAATACATTGAATCAGTTTGTTCCAGCTTTGGTTGCAATTTTTGATGTTCTGTTTTGCCAGTAGAAGGTGTTGTCTCTGGCTGTTTCACCTTTAGCTGTGAAGTTTTATGTTCCTGTTCTTTTCTGTCAGAATGTGGCCAAAGTGGATGCTCTGACTGCAGTTGAGTAGTTTCTCCTTGCATTGCCATGGCAGAGGAATCCAGCTTGCCTTCAGACTGTGAATCCTGCTGTACAGGCTGTGGCTGTTTTCCTTTGTCAGTTTGTGACGGTTCTTGCTCCTTTGTTTTATTAATGGGATATGGTAAATCTGAAGATGCTGTTTCTAGATACCCAATTTGTTGTATCTCAGCCCTCCCAGTGGTATCAAACTTATCTGGATGTACCAACTGGGCTTCTGTAGTGTTGTCTTTCTCTGCTTCCTCCATCAAACATGATAAATCTGAATGTACTTGTGCAAGATCTTCATTTTTTTCTTGTTTTTCTTTTTCAGTGGAATAAGACTGTTCTAGTTCAAAAGGACTGAATGCTTGGCTTTCTGTTTCTTCCCTAGACAGAAAAACCTGATGTTCATTTTCTAGCTGTGCACTTCGCGTTTCCTTGACTACTTCCTTGGTTAAAGAAGAGTCTGGATGACCCATCTCCAGCTGTGCACTCTCTGATTCCACCATTTTTTCTCTGGAATATGATAGATCCTCAGATCTATCATAGCTGGAGACCTCTGACTCCAGCTGTGCGCTGTCAGATTCTTCCATTTCTTCCCTGGAAAAAGAAAAATCTGGATGCTCCATCTCCACCTGTGCACTTTCTAGTTCTTTTGTTTTTTCCTTGGAAGAAAATTCTGGTTGTTCTGTCTCCAGTTGTGATCTCCCTGATTTTTCTGTTTCTTTTGTGGAAAAAAGCAGTTCTGGATAGTCTGTATCTGGTATTGCACTCTCTGATGCCTCTGTTTCTTCCTTGGAATATGAGAAATCTGGAAGTTCTGTCTCTAGTTGTGCATTTCCTGGTTCCTCTATTTCTTCCCTGGAAAAAGAGAAGTCTGGATGCTCCATCTCTATCTGTTCACCCTTCAATTCTTCTGTTTCTTCCTTGTGAGAAGAGAAGTCCAGATGCTCTGTCTCCATCTGTGTTGTCTCTGATTCTCCAGTTTCTTTGGTGGCATATGAGAGGTCTGGATGCTCTACCTCCATTTGTTCGCCTTCATCTTGTTTGTTTTCTTCAATGGAAAAATCTGAGTGATCCAAATCTACTGCTTTATTTATAGCTGAAGTTTTCTGTGTTTCTTCTGTTTCTGTATGAACAGGATATGAAATGCCAAAGTATTTGGAATCTATATTTTCAGGAATTGGTGGTTTTAATTTAATTCCTCGCTTCTCTGTTTCCTGAAGTGAAAAGTCTTGTTCAGATTTTGTTTTGTTCTCTAAATGAACATTCTGAGTTTCTGAAGATGAGGCCTTTTGACCCTCTTCTCTTTCAGCTGAATACATTAGACCTGAAGTTTCTGACTCTGACAGTGCAGTTGATGATGGACACTCAGTTTCTTGCTTCTCTGTTTTATTTCCAGAATATGGTAAAAGCACATGTTCAGACTTAGACTGTGCAGCTTCTGATGACTGAGGAATAATATCTTCCTGTCTTATTTCAGTTGAAGTGGAATAGCTGGATTTAGCTGATGGAACATCAGGTAAGTAAGGCTTCTCTGTTTCCCTCTCAGGATGTTCTGACATAGATTCTGTAGGCAAAATATGCTGGGAACTTGATCTATCTAATTCACTAACAAAATCTGCTGAAACAGACTGTGGTGCAGAATTAGACTGAACTTCCTGCTTCTTCAATTCATCCAGATGATCTGATGCTGTCAGCGGGGATTGGTCTGGCTTCTTGTTTGCATTTTTAGCTGAGGGAAGCAGCACTTGTTTCTGGTCAGACTTGAGTGGTGTGGAGGTTGTTGACTCTGTTATTGATGTTTTGGCTGTGGCTGAATGACTTTGCTGCTCCCTGGCTTCTTCTTCATTCTTCAGTAAATGTCCTGAAACCTGATTTGGAGTCTCTAAAAGAAGTTGTCTCTCTTTTCTTTCTTCATGTTGAAGAGTTGATTCTTTCATTTTATAAGGTTCAATTTTTTCAGATGAAACATGATATTTCTTAGTAAGCTGTTTTTCAAGAGGTGGTGTTGGTGAAGAAAAGCTTTGATTTGCTTGTTCTGCGAGTTGTTCTCTTTGCTTCCTTCTTCTCTCTGAAGGTGTTTCAAGAATTTTACTTCTTGCTCCCTGGAAATGTTTTGGGTATGTGGAGAGTGAACCAAACTTCTGCAATCTTTCTTTTACTGATGTTTCAAGGAACTTTTCAGAATCTCCTGAAGCTGAGCTACTTCTCCGGATTCTGTTTTTCTCCAATGTTTCAGGGGCTGGCCCAGTCCCTCCAAAAATTGAGTTGAACAGCTGGATTCTAGCTTGCACTGGACCTCCAAGAATTGGACCAACTTTTCTCAGTCTGCTCTCCCTAAATATTGATCTTATTGGAGCACGTTTTACTGGCTCTTCTGCGATATTCTCTTGATCTTCTTTGTTGTCCAACATTTCCTCATCTGTGTCTTGTGCCTCCACGTGCTCTACATTCAACATGGAGGCTTGCACATCTCCTAGAACAGTTCTTGGTTCTTGCCTCTGCATTCCAGAAGAGTCACGTTTTTTATTGCACAGGCCTCCCTTTGGTCTTGTAGCCATTGGCACCTTATTTGAAGATTTACGTGTCCTTTTCCGAACGATCTTGCCTTCATCCATAATAAAGATAACTTTTCCTGGAGGAGAGCCTACTGGTGAACTTTCCATACTGTAAAGATCAGAAGCTGTACTAGTTTCTGAGGTCCAGGGAGTAGAACATCTGCTTGAGCTAGTTTCCCAGGTTATTCCACTGTCTTCACTTTGGCATGTTACCATAGAAAAGGAAGGGTTAGTCATGATGTACTGCAGCTTGGGTTTCACATCTTCATTTTGGATAAGATCTTTTAAACTACAAACAAAAGAACAGATAACAAAAGAAAGCTGTAAAAACGCACAACAAATTAAATTATTGGAGGAAAAAGCTGAATTTATTCATTAAAACAAAAATTACTTTCAAAGTTGTAAAAATACTGCATAAGCATAGATTTTGAAGTGCAACCATAAGAAAAGTCATATTTCATCTCACAACTATATTTTAGATGAATTTGTGTAAAACTGCATGTTGCAAGGTTAGTTCAATGAAGGGGAGGTGTTTAAATGATCTTGACAATGCAGGAAGAACAGTCTTTGATCTGACCTTGTTTTGCCAGTGTGAGGTTGAGCTGATTCTGGGGCTATTCTCCAGCATGTGTTTATCTCACAGTATAAATTAAACCTTTCATTGAACACTTCAAAGACACTGTCAGTGTTTTAATAGCACCCACACTTGCTTTGCGCAAGTGTGAATGATTATACAATGCTCAAAGCAGTAGTCTATCCACTGGTTTGTTACTGTCTTCTCATGTATTTTATCCTCTAAGCACTCTAGATACTTAACAAAGTAATTTAGAATACATTCAACAATTAAAATATATTGACACCTCCCCAAATGAAACTGCAACGTTTCATAAAGGTAGTTTTAAAGCTTATGATGTGTAATCAATACACCATCATATGCTGTAACCAAATCTCTCAGCTAAAATAGTAAAAAGGCTGGAGAAAGGCATTTCTGAGAATTTTTCGGAAAGAAAAGTTCTTCAAATTCTTCAAATTAAAAGTGTAAAGATTAGCAAAAGCAATTAAAAGACACAATGTGTGGAGAGTTTAACATTTTTAGGGTTGCATTATTTACTTAAAACAAGAAATAAAAGAGCACAGAAAAGGTAATCAAAGCTCTAATATTTCCTAAGTAGACAGTAGTTAATTTATGGAAATCACATTTGTAACTGATGAAAAGAAAGGCAGAGTATCTGCTGGATAAGATGTAGCCTTCAATAGAACAGAAACAGTGAAGTCTCTATTATTCCCATGGAAGAATGCACATCTATGGCCCCACAACATCCTGCTTCCAATGAACAGAGGGAAGGGTCACTTTTCCACTGACTAGAGAAAAGCATTTCAGCTAAAGTGGAGAAAGCTAGTTACTGATCAGGGATCAGAAAAGCAGAATCCATCTGATCAGCTGCCAGAGGCTATGGCCCTACACCACACAGGTGCCAGAGTTACCTGCCGGTTGCAGAGGCAGGCAGACACCACTGAGATGCAGGTGGCACCGTGCCAGAGGGTGCTGAGCACCAGTCAGAGGCAGAGGCCCTTGAAGGAGGAGAAGAAATCAATTTTTCAGCTTCTACATCCTCCTTATATCTTGAACCTGTTTTCTGCAGTACTTGGTGCAATTAAATAAACCTTCATACAGAACAGAGTAGCACTCCCACTTGAGCTGATATTAATTAATAAGAATGGGTTGCCCTGGCCCTACCTATGCAAAAAGCTTGAATTATATACATCATTATCTTATTTTCATGGTCACAAACTTGTCACAGTTCATATTCCTCTACAGTGTGTGGAGAGAGTGCTTTATATTTTAAGACCAGAATAAGAGACATGGAACTCAAACATTTACTTCCAATGCACTTCTAAATGCTGCCTTTTTGTGAACTGCTTACAAGCTGCACAGTAGTACCTGAAAGACCTCTCTCTAGTCAGAGGAAGTGTCTGCCACTGGAAAAAGATGTTTTCAATGTTTCAGTTCATAAATGTAGATAGGAAGCCACTGGCATCCAGGGCAAAAGCCAGTGCTGTGTTTTTTCCATGTAGAAATTTCACACCCATTCCTGTTGGTGCTTATATTATGAGCATGCTATTTCGCTGCTAGAACATTGACTTAAATTTTTTCTTAGTCTTGAAGACACTGACAACCAGTTTTGTGACTCCTGCCATAACAGCTCAAACCCAGATTTTTCTTCCTGCCTCCTCCTGCTTCTCACAGCCTTCTGCTTCTCAATATGACTTCTATGCTGCATCCACTAGGATTTCAGATTTCTAGTCCAGCCTCACAGGCTGGACAAATTTTCCTTTATGAATCATATTAGGGAAGAGTTTTCACTCCCCCAGCTGCTGGAGTGGTGTTCACACAGTGAGTAGGGTCTATCCACTTGTGCACACCACTACTATGAGATATATATGTAGCTAGCCTATCAGCTTTCTAAAATTCTCCCTAGCCTCTCTTTATCGTCTTCATATTAGACCTTGCCACTGCTGATATCATAAAAATATGTAGCTTTTTGCTGCATAATTCCTCACAAGCTGAAAACAATACAGATAAAATGCCCAAGATGTCAACCTATGTCTGTAATCTGTGCTGACAATATCTCATTTTCTGAAAGTTCGTACTTCAGGCACAATGCAGGAATGGTGGAAATTGGTATTGCCAGCTTGTCTTCCCAGTTGAAGGAAACACTTCTCTGTGCTTGTGTTTTTATTCTGTACATATCTGTAATTTCTGCCTTTACCATGGTGCCCCTTTCCCCCTACAGCAATCAGTATGCTCAGCAAGGTCTCTGCCTATTGTTCTGCATTTCCCATGGCTACAGCTCATCCATCTTCTTCAGGCTAAGAGAATTGGGAGCTACAGAAAGACATAATTTCAAACGCAGCCCTCCACCTTTGACTTCTTTCAGTTAATGATGCCTCATCTGGCAATGGAGTGGCTCATGCATCTGTCAAAATTCAAAGGCTCTACTATCTAAAAACAGTAAGACAGCTGCTTGCCCAGCTACAAAGCTGGGTTTTATGATGAGTAGTTGGGAGCCAGGACCTGGGCTTGTCTCACACATTTTGTTCCATCTCTTATGAAGGAACACAGCCTGCTGAAATCTAGTCTGTTTTCCAGACACCAGGTCACAGCATGTCCTAGTGGTATTGCCATTTTCAGAATCAGATGCTGCTTGAGAAACCCACAGAACTGCCATGGCCAGAGGTCTGACATGATCCTGCATTCTGGATTCTCCACCATGTTGCAGAGGGAGTTCAATTACCAAACACTTCAGTCTGGATGTGACACTTCATTTACACAGTTACATAATCACTCTGTTGAGACCTAGTGGGGAACTTTTTGAAGTCTGAGAGCCCTACACAACACAGGCTTTTATTAAGGACTCAGTTTTACTCAAAAGGCTGAAGAGAAAACATGGAGTACCCAGCAGCAGGAGCAACTGGGGGCTGGCTGCACCCCTCCCCTCTGCAATGCCCCCACCTCAGCATTCTGTCCCATTCAGCTGCTCAGTTACCTTTTGCTCAAGCTTCTACCATGATGTGCTTGAAATGGCCTGCACAAGTCTGATTCCTACCTCTCTCATCTTCCCTGCTAATGTTCCTGCTGCAGGTCGCAGAAAAACAGCCCTGCCAGCTTCTTCCACCCTGGCCCACATAAGACACTGCCTCGTCAAGAGGCATCTAAAATCACACACACTCTCCCCATGTCTTTTTCTGCTTTGGGAAAGGTATGGTAACTTATTTTCAGAAGACAAATCCACAGTGCCCTCCACCCCCTCCTTCTCACCATCCATTTGCTATCATTCCAGTCTTTTTCTCTCCTAGATGCTGCAGCATCCTCCATGTGGCAGGAAGATGCCTTCTCCACTGTACTTCCCTTTATATTAATTTTCATCAATCATTATAAATGAGACTTGTCTCTAAAGCTTACACACCTCTCACTTTTGGAAGGGCTGCTTCATCAATAAAACAAACTCAACCACTTCCATAACTTAAGGACTTTCTCCCCATTTTTCTTCCCATCTACTTGCTATAGATAAACACTAAAAAAGGAGGTAAAACTCTATTTACCTATTACAGGCAAACAAGCTGTCTGGAAACACTTAAATTGGCTGCAGAGACATTTTTATGTAAACCCTGCACAAAAACACATCCAAAGACCTTCCCACTGTAGAAGGAAATCAGCTGAGAATGGTCTGAAAGACAGAACTGTGTCAGAACAGCTCACCCATCACACATATGTTAGAGACACAGATATTCCTATGGGTATGTAAACCAGTTAAACAGTAAACAACTTTACTTCAGTTAGATTTTCACCATTACCAATATAAAAATTAAAACCTGTTAACTTCCTACCCATGCTTGCCTTAACAAGCACAGTATTCAAAATATTTCCCCTGTTTAGGTGATTAATTGGATACATGGAGCTAGAAAAAGAAGCCATCTACCATGATCATCTATCATAAATAATAAAATGCCCAAAGGCAAGAAAATACTGTATGGGTGCTATACAGATCATTTTTGTGCTGACAAGGTCATGAAACCCTTATCCCACCTTTTTAATAGGTTCTGATGCTGCATGTTAGTCGCATTACTTATATACAAAAGTGTGCTAGGAAACCAAATTATTTAAACATTACATTAATAAGGGTAATAAAGACATGAAACCCAAACTCTTCTGTCTTTCACATGCATGCCTTGTAATTTTGAGACAAGTCATCATTTCTGCTGCAGCTTTTGGGATTTAATTTGCTGCAGCTGCTGTACGGTGTGGAAGCAGAGTGGTTTGGTCAGAGCTCAGGGGCTGGTGTCTCAGAGCAACACCAGGGCTCCTCTCCTTGTTTCATAGAGGCACTTCCTGACCTTGGGACACTCATCTTGCTGCAGGATTCTTGCATAAATTAGGTACAAGGCTATTTAATGTGCTTGAAAGGCAGAAATAGGAGTCAGTGGAGCTTTCCTGCTGACTTGCACAACCAGGTGCTGCTCAACTGCATTCAAAGGAGGAAAGCAGAAGCAACAGAGAACTTGGAGTTGTTAAAAATAAATTGATGGCAGCAGGGTCCAGGACAAGCTGCCTTCAGCCAAGTTTGCATATTAGTTACATCTCCTCTAAGCTAAGTTTTCAAAGCCCACGCACTCAAAAAAATCTGTTCTGCAATGGGGAGTTGAAAACCTGTTTGTCAACAAAGAATTAGCTCACAGCTTGAGTATGTCCCAGGGGATTAACCTGTGTTATCTTGCCAGGAGCTCTGCCCAGGCACTGACCACAGGAGGGGGCCTGAAGCTCAACAACCCTGCTGACATTAGCGACAACATCTCAGCAATTAAAGAGTCAGTTTTATTTAACTTTTCCAAGCTATTGCTGAGTTCTTGGTGTAGTCACCACATTTGTGCCGAACCCAAAATTTTACATCTCTTTTAACCTAATTAAACTAACCAATTTAAATGTGCTCAGTTACCACTTACCAGAGCTGTTAAAAGCCTCTCTGGTAGTCTATGACCTGTTTATTAGTAAGACAGCTAAGGACAGAGGAAAAACTCTGTTGTGTTTAATATAACTGAGAGCTGAAGGGAATGTTTGCTGTGATTTAAATGCTGAGATGCAATGCCCAAGTTTGCATTGCAGAGGTTGCCAGCCAGAAGACCCATCTGTGAGGAGCTGCTAACAGGCACCCATGGAAAAATCATTCTCTCAGCACAAGTAGTAAATAACTGAGAGGCTACATAGATTTCACTACCTTTTTAGTAATTCCTACTTGTGTTTTACAGTTTCAGCTTTATTATTAGCTATTCATTTCCATATTCTATTAAAAATTATCTATCTAAATAATGGTTTAGCTCTGTGCAGTGAGCGGCTCCACTCCATGAACTTCAGCTCATTTTCTTGCAGAGATACAGCACAGCCATGTGCAAGCAGTGTTTTATTGACAATCCCTCTCTCTACCAGCATAGGACTGAAAAGCCAACACCTGCCTTGAGAAAAAAAGCAGCATTACACACAAGGGTGTCCACCCACTGTGGAAAACTAGCTCTTTATTTCCTGTGTAGGAAGGTTCTCCTACAGTCCTAGGATACATTTCCCCACTTGGCTTTTGTTGTTGCAGCACTTTGGGTGGGTTAGGCTGCAGAGCGGCCCCACTGCCATCTTTTTTCTCCAGTGACCATCAGCAATGTGGGAAAGCACTTTGAACTGTGATACACACAGAGTGATGGTAAATGTGGATGTCTTCACAGCACAGAGGTATGTATGACACGTTTCTTAAAAAATGGGTTTCTGGAAAAAAACTCAAGCTAACAACATTAACATCTTAGGTTCTTCCTACAGTATCCACTTAAAACGGGTGGGGTCTACTCAAGACAAGGAAGAAATCTTGAGATTTGGCATGTGCTGGGGGACGCTCAGGCCTTGTGGTCTCTGTGAAAGCAACGGTGCTGGCACAGGCAGAGTCTGTCTGCATGGACCAGGTTGCAGTCGCCTCCGCATCCTGCGCAGGACCATTAGGCAGGGCATTGGGCCACAGCCTTGCCTGTTTCATTCCTAATGGTAGGAGAGCAATAGTAGGACAATAAACTGTTTCTGTGGAAGACTTTTTAAGAAAACAAAAATACTGAAAGAAAAAGATTGAAGATCAAAGGGATAAAATACTTCCTATTCCACAACAAAAATCAGCCTTACAAATCATGACCAGCAATAGCAACCATGTATAACAAGTTTTTCCTTTTCAAGGAAATAAGAAACTGAAGAGGGAGGGACAAGTGGGAAGCAATAAAGGGCCATAAAAAGGAACCATTTTTAATGCAACATTATAATCTTTGAGCATATTCTCCCTGACAAGCAAATCTGCAGAGCATTTAAGATCCATATGTGACAAAGAGTCAGCCAGAGAGGGAGGAGTGGAAGGAGATGCCACTTGAGCTGGCACATCAGAGGATCTTTAAATAGAAAAGCTCTCAGGGAACTCGGGGTAGGTGCTTACCACACAAAATTTAATTACAGCCATACTCATCTGAAAAAAAGAAAAAAGTACTACAGCCCTCTACTCCCCCCTTTTTCTTATCTACAGCAACTGGGTTAGGGAAGGGGAAAAAAGCCAATAAGCCAGCATGGGACACCAATCCTGGCATCTCCTGCAGGATGATGCTTTGGGGTAGAGCTGCCAGCTCCCTCTGGGGCTATGGGCCCCTGGGGAGACATACCTGTTAGTCAGCTCCTCTGCTTCCTCTGGGTCCACAGCCTCCTCCTCCTCCTCCTCCTCCTCCTCTTCCTCCTCCTCCTCTTCTTCCTCTTCATCTCCTATGAAGGATGAAGTCTCGGATGCCCTGTCACACTCGGCGCCATGGGAGCCCTCCATTCCCTTCCCTGCTCAGGCCCTTGCCGGTGATGTTTACCCCCAGCCCTGTCCTCCCCAGGGCTGCCTGAAGCAACTGTCATCCCCGGTAGCACTCACTTCTCCTGACTCAGGGCAGTCTTTAAATAGAAGGCAGCAAAGTTAGAGCGCAGAGTCGCTGCTGTTCCTACCCTGTCTCCTAGCACCAGCCCAGTGCCAGGACACGTGGCCCTGTGGCCATCTCTCCAGCTGCTCTCCCCCTTCGCCTGCCGCCCTACCACAGAGCTGCTGGTACAGCACACATGGCAGGCAGGCAGCAGCAGGGAGGAAGGGGCCAAGCTGACCTTCCCCAGCCACCTCCAGCAAATTTGGGGTGGATGGCAACAGATGAAGAAGGAGAGGTTATCTGTGGCCCCAAGAGAACTTGTGTACATTTCACAAGTTCTGCCCTTGAGCACACCAAGAGTGCCTCAAGCTCAAGCTGGAAAGGTCAAATACAATAACTAGTGGATGAGCCTCCGACAAACACATTTAATTATTAATACCATACTGTAAGAGATATCAGATGCACTGTGGTATTTAACCATGCAAAAAGAATGTATTTAAACCCTCGATTTATCAATGTGTTGAATCACAAGACATTTAAAACTTCCTATTTGAGCGGACTAGAACCAATTATAGTTTAAAGCAAAGACAAACTGTACTATCATGCAGAGTTTAGATTAAGCCTGTTATACTTTATTATTCTGCATTTTACACAAAATGCAGTGCTTTTCACAAACAAAACAGAAATATTTCTAATCTGTGTTAGTCAAAAGAATGACTTTATTAAAAAAAAAAAATTAGAAGAGAAGGAAAAGCACTAAACCCCTGATTCTAAGAACTTCCAAGATATCTCAAGTATAAATGACTGTATGCACAGTAACTCCAATGCCCCCAGCTTTTTTTTTCATTGTTCTTCAAATAAATATGGGGTTATAAATCAATCAGCAAACTCTTCCTTAAGAGTGCTGTAAGTATAGAACACCCACCCATGTACTTCTGACTACAAGCTACCTCAAAATTCTCCTGATATTCCAAAACAGTATGTACAGGTCTTTCTGCTCTCTTGACCCACACAATACACAATATACATACACAATATACAAGGTGACAATGTAATTTTTTGAAAAGTGTATTTGAAACAGATATTAAACTAAATTAAACTCTATATTTCATAATGAGCATAGACAGTGTATACAGCAAAATGTAAAGAATATTAAGTACTCTTCCTTAGATTTCATGTGGAAGGCAAGAGTTTTACAAATCTTCTAAAAATGCTTATAGACAAAACATACATACATTGCACAAGTTTTGATTCAGTCTTCAGCACAGCAAGAAACCCTTCAACCCTTACCAGAAACCCTTCAACTTATTTCCATCTGTACTTCTCATAAGTGAATTTGACCTGTAAAATTCCACATTCTTTCATGCTCTTCAGACAAGCATCATACTCAGTAAAATCAATGGAAATATTTATATCTGAACACACAAGGACTACAGAGAGCAAGGCAAAAAAAACCCTGAACCACAAAATACAAGACAACCCATAGCAAGTACAGTACAATAAATCAAGAGTGACATTCTCTGATGGACTTAAATTTAACATCAAATATATTGTGACTCAAATCCAGTAACACAAGTTCAAGTAAAGCACCAGTTCCAAATAAATGTTTGGGATTCACAAATATAATGTATTTGCAAATGCTAACTTCAGGTTTTCTACAAATCATCTTAATCATTTTACCATCACTGCCCGTTTTTCCCAAATGACCATGTCACCCTGCAATGTGAGTCTTAAAATTGATTTATATTGATTTCTTTGCGATTTTTAAAAAGTAACACCTTATACTGTCAACACACTTAAAGGTACTGAGAGTTCACTTACACATTCACATTTCAAGACAAGTGAGAGCAAGACCTGGAAGAGAAACTTTACATTTCACAGTGCATAGCCTATGCTAGTTCTGCATTACTGTCACCAAATGTGAAGCTCTTGCCAATGTTTGGTCCTACTGTGCACCTTTGAGCCTGTTAATTTAGTCCTGAAGGACTAAGGGGAGTTCTTAAAATCCTAGAGAAGACATCAGTGGTTTCTGACACATGAGGTGAGAACCAACAAGAAAACCCAAATTAAATAAATGTAAGTGCTGAACTAAAGCAACTTTATTTCAAGGCAATAACAAATCCCACAGAAATCAGCATCTTGCACGTGCACTGACACCTTGATCAGCTGTGAAAAATACCTTTTACCAGAGATCTCTCAGAAAAAACTACTCCTACTAGGATGTATGCCAAGGTTTAAGAAGGTAAAAGTTTTTATTTTTAAGTGAAGGAAAGTTGAAAATTTTACCCTAACACTAAAATTTATGGTAGCCATTACTGAATTTTTTATCCTGAATACTTGCCCAGAGTAGATGACAATGCAGGTCATTAAACCTTGAACAACTTCAGACTATATGGAACTGAATCCAAAGTTAAAGCCCAGCTCCTACCCACTCTCCCCAAGCCATTTAGTTTGTGGTATTACATCTGAAAATTTCTGACAAAAGTTGCAGCCCACTATTTAACAAATATGCTATCAACAGGTCTGCTCCGAAAAAACTGGGGAAAACTACCATCTAGATTTTCTGGTTATAGACATGGTTTATCAGAAGGACATAAACTTGAGAAAAAAAAAACCAAAAGGATTCTTTTGAAAGACACAGACTGTTGTGGTTACAGACCTTAACTTGTATTAAAAACACCACTTAATTGTAGGGCATTTTTTACAGAGTAGCTCAGAGATACCACAATGTTTTAAACTAACCTTTTAAAAACAGTTAGGAATTAAGTTAAACATGAAGCATTAGTTTAAGGTGTAAGAAATGTTGACACATTAGGTGATGCAATACAAACTCATAAGGAAGTTTTATGCCTTTTATAAAGTTTGGTTGCTCACACTCAGCTCACTTAAAACATATTTAACTTTAAACATTTATGTCCCTTCTTATTTATCCTAGGTTGGGAAAGTTTGAAATTTTCTAGACAAAGAATACGTTTTTTAAGAAGATTCTTTTTTCCCAGAATCTACATAGAGCTTGTAGAGCATCTTTGAATCCAGACATCATCCTGTCCTAAAATCTTGTGCTTCAATTTTACATAAAGTGAATCAAAGTGAATGTTCCACTGATACTAAAGTCTACCATCCTATAGAAAAAGGGCAGTGAGGGTGAACATGTGCAAGGAGGAAGAATATTTCAGTGGACTTCCAGAACCATATTAAAATTGAAAGACAGTTAAAATTGCAGAAGAAAAGTCAATTGCAGAATAAAGGCAAAATTCTACATAGACTGGACCATGTGGAAGTGTGTAGGAAGAAATCTCACATCAGGCATATAGTTTACACTACTAAGAACTTCTAAATAAATTTTTACAACATGACATAATGCTTGTTATTCTACAGTTAGAAGAGTTTTCACAATCTTGTTAAAGAAAGTAATAAACCAAACCTTTGTCTATTCACAGATGTACTGCAGAATAGCTGTGATAGATCTTGATGAATTGCAACGTGGGCCTTCTTGTGGAGCATTTCCTATTCTACTTAAGTATAGGAAATACTTTAAATACACAGTACAAAATAACATAGATTGGAAAAATAACCCGTATCTTCCATGTATAAACTTTATTCCACTGGACACCATATAAAATATTAAACTTAAAAAAATGGAAGTATGAATTTGACTTCAGTGGTAAATACAACCTTAAAAATTAATTGGTCTTCAGTAACAAATATATGAGAGACACAAATTGTACTATAGGAGGTCTAAGAGAAGGTTTGCAAGTTTTTTGGAAGAGCTGTAATTTTCAATATTACTTAGATTCAATTTACGGTGGCTAATCAATTCACAAACATTTACACAAAATCAAATGAGAAGCCTGGCTTATTTTAGCATGATGTGAGGTGTTTTGATTTTGATTTGGTCTTTTTCTCCAAAAGAGGCACCACTATTACTTCAAATATGTATAAGGAAGCACAAAAAGTTTTCCTTCCTACTCTGTGTGAATGTGAAGCATTTATGTGCATTGAATAGAGCTTTTTTATTTCAACTTCTTCATAGTACAACTATTGCTTGAAAATTCTGGTTTAGATTATAGTTCTTGATATTCAGAGTACTACCAACCATAATCTAGCTTCATTTTCATGAACAGCTGCTTGTTATAAAAGTGAAATAAAACAGGAAAGTGCTAAGTTGAGCAGAAGTGTTTAAAGCAATTCAGCAGATGTAAAGCACACACTCTCTGTTCATCAAGAAATTGGTAGTGCACAGTGCCTTAAGGATGTAGTCAGATTTGCACATGTTTAACTTTGTCTATATTTCATGGTTAAATCTGTCTGAAATAATGGTTACACAGATCACACAAGAAAAAAGTCAGTATATCCCCATAATTTCCTTAAAATAGATGAATTCTTGTTTGCTCTGAGTTTCTTCTAGAAGTCAACAATACAAGCATTTTCAGAAAGCGTATTTTGAACAGCTCTATTAACAAATACTGATAATAAAATATGCCACATCCTTATAAACATTTTCTTAACAAAAGTTTACAGAGAAAAACAGGTCATAAAAACCATGGGGTAAATGCCTCCTGATTTTGTCTCTGTTCTTTGTTTCAGCAGGATCCAAAAAAAGGGAAAATGAAAGAAGCTAGTTATCTTTTCTGTTTGATTGCTTTTAAAGGTAATATACAGTTCAGGTCTTTCTTGTCTCGTAATAACCGCCAAGCCTGAGGAAAAAAACGACAAGGTTTTTAAAAAAAGATTATATAATCTTTTCCATTAAAACTTAAATACCATTATTAGCAATAAGCACCACAGTTCCACAAAATTAAGCTTTATTTTTTCCCCTTCTTGAAAAGAAAGAGGGTGTTTTTTTCATTTGTTTTTGGGATTTTTTTAAGGGAAGCAAAATCCAAAAAGTACACAAAATGCAATGAAGTAATGAGGAAGGTAAAGCCTTTCAAGAACAGACTGGACTTTTGGAGACAGAGATATTAACAATATTTAAGCATTACACTGGTATTCTAACTGCAAAATAATTGTCTCAAATTCACACATATCAAAATCCCCAATAAATGATGTTACGCATTGTCATTTCCAGAACTTAGATGTGTCTCTAAAATACCTTATTTCAACTGTCTTCTGTGTTCTTAGCGTGAGTTTCAGGACATCTGTTATGACATGAGCCTGCAGTGACCCTCCTGTGTTTATACAGAAGTCATTTACACTCCAATGTGTAATGATAACCTCAAGAAGAACTCAAGGACTCAAATTCTCTCAAGGACAAAAGAGATTGCTTAAGCTTTTTAAAAAATAGTGCAGGATATTAAAAAGTACATGCATTTTTAGAGCAACTGTCATTCTAATAGTATCTGGTAAAAAGGACATTTTTCAGGGCTGTATCACTCTAGTCTATTGCTTCCAGACAGCTAGGATCAAACATCTGCTTTTACATTTTTCAGAAAATCACAGAGGTTTAAAGGAATTTTGTTAACCAAAAAGAGAAGTTCTCTCTGATTTCACAGTACCACAAAAGCCCAAGCCACTTTGTAACCGTGACTTTAGCAGATTCACAAAATCAACTATTTTATGTATCAGTATGTGAACAATTCAGTATTTTGTATGCTAACATGGCTAAATAAAAGAAAAATGTATTAACATTTCTGAATAGAATTAAAAAGAAAATGTTATCCTTTTCTAACTAAGGTGTCTCTTTTAGCATTTGCTCTATTACAAGTATCTGGCATTGAATTATTTCTTGCTGAAGAAGCCTTCAAGGTACTTGAAGACATGAATAACTGGAATAAACACGATCCTCCAAGGACAGCTTAGTAGGGGAGTCTTAACTGGTTAAACTTGGAAGATAGTTCTATGCACTAATCCCTAGTCATAACTACATAAAAAATAATCAGAGATCTCAGAAACCTAGAATTTCAGTTGCAATACCTATGCAATGCCTATGATAGGAGAGAAGCATAAAGAGTGTTGGTACCAAATATTTTCAGAAAAATTATGCTTAACCAAGTTCTACATTTTTTCTTGTTTCAACGCATCCTTTCCTCCCCTGATTGGGATAGTGAAAGCTCATGCTGGAACTACTCGTATTCCAAAATTATGAGTGTGGTGTCCCTAAAGAAAAGTTCCCATTTAAGTAAGTTATCAAAAATCAGAAAACCCTCATTATTTTGGTGGTGATATTTATTAAAAAATGGAATAGTAAGAAGAATAAAATATTATCTATTACCACTCAAATTAATATAGGAATAAATAATGAATGAAAACAAAGTTGCAACTTTAAAGCTATTAACCGTTGTTAGAATTTTACACGCACAAGAAAGTCTAAAAGAGAGGGTTTTTTACTATTTTGTATACCCCTTTCAGTCTAAACGTGAAGTTTAATGGCAGACATTAAAGAAGACTCTTAAATGATTTTTCTACACATTTTTAAAAACATGCATTTTTGTTACTTATAGTACAAACTATAAAACATCATAAACAGGCAGGTTTAATGACTAGCATTTTCAAGATAGTAAAACTATCTTGAAAAACAAAGTGGCCAGAAAAATTACATGAGATTACTTTTTACCTGTGCAATTTCACCTCTGATCATATCATACTTCTGTTTCTCATGTACAGCTCTAGCAGTATTTGTCCCATCAAAGGGCTCTGCAAGATCAAAAACAAACATGAAAACTGTAAAAAAAATTATCTAGAGTTAGTTTCTCTACTAACCAAGTAGGGTCAAGCATATACCTGCTTCCCAAAAGTGTTTTAAATACTCAATTCCTCTTTGGTTCTCAAGATTTCTTTCTACATAACATTTATCAAAAAAACCTCCAAACCAAAACTAAACTAAACCAACCTATAAGACAAAATAAACCCCCAACAAGAACAAGGAAACACAAGACAAAACAAACAAACCAATAAAAAAGAGGAGAAAAAAACCCCACCCAAACGCTGAATTCTCTGAATGCCCTGAATGGAGAACACTGTCAGGGACTTTGCAGATGACACAAAGCTGAGCAGTGCCATTGACACTATAGGGCAGGATACCATCCAGAGCCACATGGACAAATCTGTGCAGTGGGCCCATGAGGATCTCATGAAAGTTCAACAAGTGCAAGTGCAAAGTGCTGCATCTGGGTCCGAACAATCCCAGACACGATTATGGACTGGGAGAAGTCACTCAGAGCAGCCCTACCAGAAGGATTTGGGGGTGCTGGGGATGAGAGGCTGGACATGACCCAGCCATGGGCACTCCCAGCCCAGAGAGCCACACGTGTCCTGGGCTGCATCCAGAGCAGGGTGGGCAGCAGGGCCAGGGAGGGGATTCTGCCCCTCTGCTCTGCTCTGCTGAGAGCCCACCTGGAACCCTGCATCAGCTCTGGGGTCCCAGCATGGGAAGGGCATGGAACTGCTGGAGGGAGCCCAGAGGAGGCCACAAAGATGATCAGAGGGACGGAACACCTCTCCTGAGAGGACGGACTGAGAGAGCTGGGGTTGTTCCATCTGGAGAGAAGGCTCTGGAAGTGATCTCATAGCACCTTCCAGTATGTAAAAGGGGCTTACAACACAGCTGGAGAGGGACTTTTCTCAACAGCATGTAGTGATAGGACCAGATGGAATGGCTTTAAATAAAAAGGGCAAGCTTAAGATTAGATATTTGGAAGAAATTCTTTACAGGGAAGGTAGTGAGGCATTGGAAGAGGTTGCTTAGGGAAGCTGTGATCTCTGGAAGTGCTCAAGGCCTGGTTGGATGGAGCTCCAAGAAAAGTGATCTAGTAAAAGATGTTCCTGTCCCTGGCAGGGGAGTTGGAAAGAGATGATACTTAAAAGTCCCTTCCAACTGAAACCATTCTATGATTCATGAATGCTCTAATGATATGTAATTCCTAATAAACTCAGGTTATTATTATCTATTGAAGCATACTATGATTGTGCTGGGTTTATGCAGTAGTAATTATCTGCTACAGCTCAATAGTCTGTGATAACATATCAGACTATGATTTTGCGTATTACAATATTTTGAAACTTATTACACATGAGACTCTTGGAACTATTCACTTTAGATTAATCTCATTCAACAGTTTCTCAGTGAAATTCTGAAAATATAGCAAAATATTTACTATAACTTTAATATAAGACATATTCACTTCATACCTATTCTGCAGTATTCATTCATAAGTTAACCATCTGGGGATTCTACTTTGCACTAATGGACTACAAATTAATGTGATGTTCCCCCCCTTTTTTATCCTAACTTAATAGTTTGGAACTTTTTTAATTGCAAGATTACAAAAGTATTTCTTGCTACCAATAAGGCTGCCAACATTAAAGCAACTGATACTAAAAAAATATGATGCAGGGACTCTGCATTACAGTGTGCTACAAACCAGATTTTATAGTCTTTTTTTTCTTAATAGAGAACTGCTTAAGCAATAGTATGTATTTCACACTGGCAAGTCCTCAAGGACCAGAGAACCACAGAAGTAGACTTTTTTTTGTCTAGCTGGTTATTAATTACTTTTATTCAGCTAGTAATGTATAGCAAAAGAAAGCATTACACAGACACCAGAAGGGCTTGTGCCTTTAGACTGGAATTTCAAATTTGGTGCGCACTCCATGGCTTTAAGTTTTTATTTCTGCTAGCTATTTAAATTAAAGAAAACTAAGACAATTTTTAATGCAATAAATGTTGTATTTAGCAGTTTTCTAAAAAGATTCTCTTCAAATTACCTGGTTTTCAGTGGACAGTTACAGGCAGATTTCCTTTATTTTAGAATGCATCATACTTTTAGTTTAGAACAAAAACTGTCAACCAAATAAAACATACAGTCCTATATTGTCAGTCCCATTATCTGAGAGAGTAATCTAGTGTAATTAAGAACTCCATGTGCCTTACTATGTGAATACACCATTTCACTTGTATAAAATAAATTTGATGGTAAAGAATAATTTTACAATCAGCTACTCTTTACACCACTACATTTTCTAACCATCAAGACAGTAAGAGTTTATTGTAAGTTATTTTGTTCACACACAGAGATGAGAATATTAAAAGAAAAAAGTAACACAGCTTTAACACTGATGCTTGAGGGAAAGGTTAAAGGGAATAATTTTTCCAAATAAAAATGCAAATGTCACACAACTTCAGAACTGCTGCTAACCAAGCCCTGAGGAATTGTTTTTTGAATTATTGTTAGGATGTGGACCTGAAAGACTTGAAACTACAAATATGAATCAGGTGCAGCTTAGATGGCTTCTGATTTTGTTTCCCTAAATTATTACCAATATAATTATCTCATAAAATTGCCACATTTCTACCTTTTCTTATTCTCCCACAGGAGAGTATTTGATATTACTTGATACAGACAAGATTTAAACTCAAACTAGAATAGTCAATAGCCATTTAGAACTTATGACAAGGATTGTTCAAAATATTATCTAAAAGCAGGGTTCTCTGTATCTCTGTAAACCCATCATGGTAAAAGCCTATCATATTTTAAAGTGTCTGGAAAGAGCATCTATACTATATTTGTTTCTCTAACAGCAAAACTATATGTGAAAATCAGCCTTAAGGCCCATAACATTTAAAACAGAACAGTTTTTCTTGAGCTAATCTAAATACAGTACTACATGGAGAATTGTGGAAGCTTGCAGGCACAGGCTTGTGTAATCTATCAACAAATATATTTTAGATATTAAAAATAAATGCAATAGTACCAATTACTGAATTATTATTCTGCAAACAGGAAAATTTGACAAAGACATGGAAAACAGAATATATTGGCATGTTTACCTAACTTTTGCAATCTTCTTCTCAAGTACACAGGAATTTATATACATACTTTGTTAACCTAGTTCCGTGTAATAGCTTTTATGAAGTCCGCTTTGAGCGAAAGTAGGAGATTTTTCCCTCCCAAAGTAAAAAACATGGTATGTGAGGCTAAACCCATTAAGTCTTGAACTAAGGAAGGAATCAAATATGTCACCTATAGATAATTTTGCCTTTTTTAACAGCTCAAAGGCAAACACATTAATGAAAAGTTCTAATTAATCAAGACCATTAAATTAAAAATCTAGAGTGTCTATTTTGTATGTTGATGTGTATTCTATTTTTCAGCCTGGCAGAAAGTTAACCTAATGTCATGGGGTGACATAATGGTGTTTGTATCCCCAGTCATGTGTTCTGCTTATGTTTGATATTATGTTCTGTGCTTTCAGAACTGACTCTGAAAGTGAAGGTTTGTTTTGCCTTGTTATCAGCTGGCTCACCTCCCCCCATGGTCTGCTGTCTAGGAGAGGCCAGTGCAGGCTGGCTGACTTTGCTTTGCTTGCTGGCTTTCGCTTGCTTGCTTTGCTTGCTTCTGCTTTTGCCTTTGCTTCCTAGTTAGTTTAGCTAAGCAGTCCAATTCTTTCCCTGGACTGTTTCCTCTCCTTTTCTTTTCCTGAATACCATCCAACCTGCTCTGGACTGGGACCCTGGAAACCCCGAGGAACACCGAGAGCCTGCACTCTGTGATCTGCAGCAGCCATCCCCAGTGCCCAGAGCAATCCCCAGCACCCAGATCTGTGAGACCACTCCCAGGAGAGACTTTCTGGATTTGTTCATCTCTTCAAAGTGGTGAAAGAGTTTTGTTGTCATCTGGTGTTGTTAATTTGTTTTTGGTGCTGGGGAGTGCTTTGTTTGTTAAATAAACAGGTTCTTTTCCACTTCTCTCAGAGAAAATTTTTCCTGAACTAGGTGGGTGGGGAGGGGCCGTTGGGGTTTGTTTTCTGGGGGCTTCTTCCAGAGGTTTTTCTCAAAAATTTGCCCTAAACTAGGACACCTAATTATTCAACCACTTTGTAATGTCATAAAATACTTGAAAGCTTGAAACAAACAGCCCCCTGGAACACAGTGGATCAGCATCACGTGACAGCAGCAAACATAGCTGCCCAGCATTCCCACCTCCCACATTCAGACCAGAGCCTTGGCAATGCCTCACTATGCTATTCTGAATCATTTCAGCTGTGCGGATACTCTGATTCTCATATTTCTCAACTCTAAGACCACAGAGTTCAGTTCAACTATATTTCAGTGTGTTCTTCTCCTACAACTATTGATTTTTCCCCAAAGAGTCAAATAAAGAACAGGAATCCCATCATGTGGCTTTACATTGACATTGATATGACTATGGCCATGTCCATGAGCTCTGGACCACAGAATAACGAAGTTCACCAGCATGTGAAGTAGACTGAAGGTGATTCTCTGCACAGAGCAGCACAAATGCAGGGAAGTACATACATACCCCAACCTTAAACCTCATCAATCTTGAAGAATGTCTGTTCAGCCATAGGACTTGTCTTGGTCTTCTCCTCCCCTAGCAAAATCTTCTTAGTGTCTAACAACTTTTCCTACACCATTTGTCTCCTGTTCAAGTTATATTCCTATTTCATCCTGCGACATCAACCCTTAATATCCTTATCCTAACAGCCTTCATTGATTTGCAGCCACCTCTCCCTTTTGTGACAACTGCTTCCAGTTACCAGCAACTCTCAGCCCCTTCAGTCTCTTCTCTTTCTCCTAACATCTCAATCCTTCTCTAAGTTTATAATCTCTTTCCTTAGTGCAAGCTTTATCTCCTATGTATGCTTACCTGCTCATCTTCTCCATGTACATTCCCCACAACAGCTGAAAGGTGTTACTAGCATATGAATCTGGTTGCCTGTATAATGCTCCTATTCAGTTCTGCACTGAGACAGCTGAGACCTGCAACTCCAACAGGTAGCCTGGGTTTACCCTCCAATTCTGGAAGGCATCATGTAGTCTCTCCACAAATCCTATATTCACTAGCCAGCCAAAAATAGTATCCACAAGGAGATCAATGTACAAATAACCTACAACATCACTGCAATGCCAGAGCATTTCAAGAACAAAGAATATTCTTCAAGAATAATCTGAGTATGTGCCTGCTGTGTTTTTTCAGAAGTTCAAACTTGGCAAAACTGACAACTATTTTTGTGGAGCAGAAAAACACACACTACTGGTATAAAGGCCATTCCTTATCAAAATCCTATGCCCTGTTCCAAAAACAGGGCAATGACTGCTCTTGAAGAGAAGGTCAGGAGTACTATTTTTAAACACTTTAGAGCTTAAAGCTTCCTTCTCAAATGTTTCTGACAGGACTGATATGAACTATTAACAGTGGTTAACTTCCTTCTCTACATAATGCACATGTGAAATATATTTCTAAAAACACAACTAAGGTAAAATCAAATTGATATATTTATAAATTTAATGCCTTAACAGTTAAAAATTATAATGCAGCTTCACACTTTACCTTCTACACAAATAAATTTGTTTCTCCATTCAATACCATCAGGTCTTGCAATAGCCTTGGCCTCACGAACTGAAATCATTTGATGGCTCCAACTAAAGAAAAAGAAGACAATTTGCAGAAAAATTTTATGTCTTCATTCTAAATTCAAAGTATCAGTTTACGTTAAAAAATTGTCAGATTGCAATGTCATAAGCCTGGATAACACAGTATTTTATAACCATCAGTAATTTAGTTTAACATCATGGGTAGGAAATAAGAAAATTTTTCTACCAACGGAAGTTCAAATACAAAAAACATCTCCAAAAGAGAGCATCAGCTATCCATAAGTAACATATATTCACAATGGAATTTTTTTTACTAACAATGTCAAACTTTGTGACAATTTGCATTGTCACCTACATTTATTTCTAAGTTCAAAATAAATTACAGAATGAAAATTTTCAGAATTTTCTGTAGGAAGAAAAGGAATGTAGGGAATAAATGCAGACAAGTCACATACTGCATTCCATAAACAGTACTCAATAGTATAAAGATATGTAGAAATACCTTGCTCATAGGTCTTCTTTGTGCAAGAAACCTATTACTAGAAAGTTTCAATACTTTATATATGCTTAATTTTAGATCTGCAAGTACAACAACTCTCTACCACTTTCTGCAGGCATCTTTACAACAACAAAACATGGAAATTACCACATTTAAACAGGAACAGCAGGCAGATTATAGGGTGGTCTTTATGATACACCACCATCTTTATAACACTTGGCACAACAATATCCCAAATGTAATGGAAATCAAAACAAAACCACTTTTTATGTTCTTATCTACCCAGCCACCTTTCAGCTGCTTTTAACTAAAGAGAACAGTTCATCCTGCGTGCCATCATATCCCACATCCAAGATAGTCAGGGGACTGGGTCCAGCCAGCAGGGGCTTATGAAAGGTAGATCCTGACTGAAGAACTGATCTCCTTCTGTGACAAGGTGGATATGGGAGGGCTGTGGATGTATTAACTTTAATAATATCTTTGACACCATTTCCCACAGCATTATCCTTGAGAAACTGACATCTGATGGCTTGGGGAGTTACACTGTTCACTGAATAATGAACTGCCTGGATGCCTGGGCACAGAGAGTGGGGTGAGCAGAGTTAAATCCAGCTGGTGTTCAGTCACCAGTGCTGCTCCCCAGGGCTCAGTACTGGGGCCAGTCCTGTTTGTATCTTCACAGTTTATATCTACAGATTTACTGCAGGTGGTTGATGTACCCAGCCCAGCTCTGTCAGGTGTACATAAGACCAGTACAGCTGGAAGCACACTGCCCATCTATTTCCACCCATTTAATCAGGACATGTGGTGATGTATTGGTGATCCAACTATTTCACTGATATGGTGGCGCCTGGATTTACAGAATCATTCAGAGTAGAAGAGACCTTTAAGACCATCTAATCCAAATGCCAAAGCAGCACCACTGTAACCACCCCTACAGCATATTCCCAAGTACCAATCCAGACATCTCTTGGGCATTTCCAGAGATGGTGATTCCATAATTTCTCTAGGTAACTTATTCCAATTTTTCTCTTTACTCTGTTCACTCTTTCAGTGAAAAATCATTTTCTAATACCTAATCTGAAACTCTACTAGTGCATACTGCCTGAGGGTCACTCCATGAGATGCAGGTGACACCAAGCTGGTGGTGCTGCCCTTGGGTCACAGCAACCCCAGGCAGCTCCACAGGCTGGGGCAGAGGGGCTGGAAAGGCCCTGGGGGTGCTGGTGACAGTGGCTGGACATGAGCCAGCAGTGCCCAGGTGGCCAAGAAGGCCAATGGCATCCTGGCCTGGATCAGCAATGGTGTGGCCAGCAGGACCAGGGCAGGGATTGTCCCCCTGCACTGGGCACTGGTGAGGTCACACCTGGAACCCTGTGTTCAGTTTTTGGCCCTTTATTACAAGAAACACACTGAGACCCTGAGGTTTGTTGAAAGAAGAGCTGAGGAAGAGTCCAGAAAACAAGTCCTATGAGGAGCAGATGGAAATGGCGTTTTTTATTCTTGACAAAGGGAGGCTCAAGGAGGAACTCATCCTTCTCTACAACTACAAGGCTGTAACCAGGTGGGGGTCAATCTCTTCTGCCATGTGTCAAGGAAAAGAAGAAATGGCCTTAAAATGCACTAGTAGAGTGAGTTCATTCATCAGTTAAATCTGAAAGAATTCTGTCCTCCCTAGACCACAGATCTGCTATTGCAATTCCATTAAGTCAACAACAACAAGATAAAAGTCCTGACTGTAATTCTACAAATTATCTTGAATACAACTCGCAATTAAAAGCTTCTATGGAACTCATAATTAAAGCCTCCTATGGAATTCCTGTGGAACTCAGTAACTACTTCCACAGAACACATATATTTAATATGATGAATAGGGCTCATTTTTAAAAAATTGAGGACACAGCATGTTAAGAGATCTAGGATACCTCAGTGTGTATATTTAGCTTTCCTTTAGTATATTCTTTAGAAAATTAGTAATGATAATGATCTTTTCTAGCATTCAATGTAAACAAAAGCCTTTATTCTAACGTACAATCCTTCCTCTCCTTAATTTCCACAGTAGACTACTTTTGTGATAGAGATAATATCAAGCATCAAATACTTTCCTATCCTGTCTTTTAATAGTCAACCATCAACACACACTTAATTCAGATTAATTGCTAAAAAAAACCAACCCAAACACATATACAAAAAGACAAAATCCCTGTGCTTAGTGCTTCAAACAAGCTTAAACTGCAGCTCAAGAACACATTTTCTGCAAGCAGAAGTGTAGAGTTTGCTTTTTTAAAAAAGCTTATTTAAAAATCAGAGATCCAAACCAGTGGTGAGAGAGAGAAA